TAAAGATTTAAGGAACCACGATCCGACAACCCCTAATCTTTACTCGCGCATTTAGGGTGAACGTACCAGTAATCGGCACGTCGAGGAACACGTAAGACTATATCGCGAAACCTTTCGATTTGGAAGAAATTTAAAAAATGCTCGAGAGTAGTTGTTATCGAATTTGTAAGCAGCTCGATGTATAAAATTAAGAGACCGGTTGGAGAACGTTGTTGGATCGGTGAGCGACGTTTTGTCAAAAAGATTTGTCCCAGTTATCGACATAAAAGCGAACCTGGCGCTGATGAAAAATAAAGCGTCTTCATTTTTTATTATTTTAACACGCCACCACATTCGGGCATTGAACTGAACGTACGCTAAAAATGAATACACCTCTTGCGGTTCTAGTTGCAGTATTTCATCTGAAAGTTTTCATCAAACTTGTAATGGCACAACTTGGCGGTGACTCGTATAAATATCGTATAAATATTGTTTCGTTAAGACTGCACAGTTAGGAGAAATGTTAGTAACTATCTGCGGGGTAACACTGCCACATTGAACTAAGTATAATAGAATCTCGACAACCTTCAACACAGATTGTGCAGCATTCGTTTCTATTACCTTCTCGTCTCGTCCTGTGATTTCATTTTTTTTTTCTCTGTGTTCTGAACCGAGAAAATAAAGTAACGTTTCAATGTTTGTGAATGTCCCAGAGGTATATGTCGATTACTGGTCTCCTACTTCGTTTAGATAGATTAGATATATTATAAACAAAGAAAATGATATCGCCACAGTTCCTTGCTTCATCCCCGCTACTGTTCCTTCTTAGGCGAGAGAGACCCGTCGACTCCAGCACCAATGTCCTTCGTTAAGGATAAAGTAAAAGTGACAGAACAGAGGGTTAACGCTTTGCATTCGAGAGGTAACTCTCAGTCACCATTAGGTTTCACGCAGCAAATCTATCAGCAATAATCTTTCTTTAGGTTTAATTTCTTTGGAACTCGAAATGTCAATGAAATGATTGTCGGCGAGGTAAAGGTGACCTGAACTCGTAGCAATAGAATGTTAAGAGTGCAAAGGGTTAATTCGCTATATGCTTCAACTTCTTGGCAAAACCAACGTCGAAGCGAAACAATATGGCCGCGAGGCTTACTGCTCGACTTCCTTCACGCAACAGGATTCCTTTTTATATTCGATTGGCTCGTAGCGAATTAAACACTGGGTCTGCAATGAGTAATACTCAAACTAACCCTAGAGTCGTATATTTAATTAAAAGTATCGGTTACCAGTACGTTTACCCTACTTCATTTACTTCTGCCGACTTCCTCGACTTCCGACTAACTTTGCTTTTGCTCCAACGTTTGACAATAACTTCCATCCAGATCGTGCCATTAGGCGCATGTCCAGTAGTTGCTTCGTTGATCTGCACCAGCATTCCCAGATTATTCGTATCGATTAAGAAAGATTCGGGAAGGTTGGTTGCACAGATCAGCACACGGATTTGTCCATAGTGGTGTGCGTTTTCAACCCTGAAACGAGGAAGATCGCTGTAGATGCTTAATTACAGAAAAGAAAAACTTTCGTAGATCGAAGATTTATCGAGCAACCGCTGAAACCAGCACCGCCGCCGATCATAACGGTTCACAAATCGGGTGGATACAGCGGGTACAGTTCCACCACCACGCAAGGTTCATCGTCCAGTTACAGTAGTTCCACCAATAAGCAGAATTCCACGACTTCCTCTTCCTACAGAGTAAGGATTAATTTAGAATTGCTCGTTACTATTTTATCGGAATGGTAACGCTGGATGTATGCGCTGGACGATTTCGTTTCAGGCCACAGACTCCAGCACGGACAAACGAAGCACCAAGAAGTACGGTCTCGACGCCACGGGCAGCCCATCTCGTTCCAGAAGTACCACTAAGGAATTAGCTTGTAAGCAAAATACGCTGGCTGTATTTAGACGGTCCGGGTTCCAGTAACACATTTAATTACACACAATTAATCTCGTAGATCCTCCGGACGACTCGATGCGGGCGCCACAGTTCACGAAAAAACTGAGCGATCTTACTATAAACGACGGAGAACAGTTAGAACTCAGCGCGAAGGTCGACGGTGACCCTGAACCTCAGGTCACCTGGTCCAAGAACGGCAAGGTAAAAACGAGTTCGCGAAAATAAATGTCTCGCCGAGTTAACACAGCAAACCTTTGCTCAGAAACACGGCAATCGTGTGTCTCCTTGGATCTTTGTTTCGTAATACCACTTTTTAGATAATAGAGAATAACGCCAAATAATATTGTTAAAGTGTCCAGTACCCAAACCCATAAATGTTTCGCCGAGTTAACCCAGCAAACCTTTGCTTAGAGAATTTCACGAATCCTTGAATCGGCCTAATTTATTGTCCATTATAGGCGCTAAGCTCGTCAGGCATCATGGACCTGAAGTACAAAGCGGGAGTCGCGACTCTCGTTATCAACGAAGTGTTCCCCGAAGACGAGGGCGAATACACTTGTCAGGCGAGCAACAGCATCGGTACCGTGACTACCTCCTGCAAGCTGACTATAAAACGTAAGTAACTGTTGGGTTTTTGTAAATTAAAAAAAAAAAAGAAATACACACGTGCTTTAGTAGGTTTTATGAGGAGGTAGAACACACATGTGCTTTCTATGCAGCACCAAACATACGAAACAAGAGAAGATCCATCCGGTCAGCGTCACATGCATGCATAAAACAAAACACATTCACACATTCGCCTAACGCGCTAAACCTTGAGATCAGAATCCAACAGTAACCTTTACTTATCAAGTCATCCCAGTGAAATTGAAATACATGAATTCTCTATGAATTCTACGCCGATGACGATATCTTTCAGCGGACACGACTGCGGCCGCGAAGAAGAAGACCGACGACAAGCCCCCGAAGATCGTGGATCACCTGACGAGCATGTTCGTGAAGGATGGCGAAGCCGTTTTGCTGAGCTGTCGAATAATCGGCGCCAAGAAGTTCGACGTGATATGGCTTCACAATAACAAAGAGATCAAGCCTAGCAAGGACTTCCAGTACAGCAACGAGGCGAATATCTACAAATTGAACATCGCCGAGATCTTCCCCGAGGACTCCGGCACTTACACCTGCGAAGCGTTCAACGACGCAGGGGAGAGCTTCTCGTCGTGCACATTAAACGTACTTGGTACGTCAACGATCGCGATTCCCATCGATCACGCTGTTCTTAATAATTGCTTTACGATCACGCTGATAACGATTGTTTCGCTTGCAGTTCCAAACGAGGAACCGAAGAGCCCAGTCTTCACGACATTCCCGCAATCTGCAACGGTAGGCGAAGGCGAATCGGTTACGTTCACATGCAAGACTGAAACCGCGCCTTTGAAAGGTAATCAAAATTGTCGATTAGAGATCCCTACTTCACGTGTGTCGAAATACCCGGGTACACGGGTAATCAATCGATCCGTGTTTTAATTCGTGTATTTTTAATACTCGGATACTCGGGTATCCGTGTATTAAAAATACACGTGTTCATCCCTTAATACACAGTACACGTGTTCCGTGTTTCCGTGTATTTTAATACCCGTTCAAAACCGTGATCTCTAGTATAGATCTTTCTTATAGTTGTATTGGGTTGTCTGGAAAGTCCATGCCGATTTTTGATAAGTGGTGCAGGTCTGAATATGTCGAAATTGCTGAAAACAAATAACATATATATATATATGCATCCCTTAAAAGGTGAAAAGGTGTGGAACAAAATGGTATCTATGTAATGCAATAAATACATTAATATATACACAAATACATTGCAATTCAAATGTGCCTTTGAAGTTTTTTTGAAAATTGGCACGAACTTTCTGAACAACCTAATATTTTTCGTACAATCTGCTTAAATCGGTCAGGAAGCTCTGTACAAATTACGATGGCGACTGCGAGGGCGCGAGCTGTATACTAATCGGGTTTTTTTTTTACAGTAACGTGGTTGAAAGACGGAAAAGCGATCCCAGAAAGTAGCAGCAGGTACCTCTTCAGTTCAGACGGTGACAAATCGTTCGAGTTGCGTATCAAATCCTGCACGGCCAGCGATGTCGGCCAATACGTTGCCCGCGCGATCGGCAAGAAGGGCGAGACGAACGCTGCTTTCGCCCTAAACGTTACCAGCGACCAATGAAAACGTTGATACGTGCAATGATCGCGATACGACAAAGGTTTGGGTGATATCCATCTATTTTTTACTGTTCCACATTGTTTGTTAGCTTCGTCGTATTTGCGCGTCACCTTGGTTCTTTTGGTTCTTCTAATTCATCTCTTTTCAGCTTCCAACGATGTTCTATCGGGAGAACAATGATTTAGAAACGAAAACGAATGATAAAGAACAGAGGGAAACGTTTGAAACGGACTGTAAAAAAAAGAATTACGACTCGCGAAGTAAGTCGCGACGATAGGTGGTTATTATAAGGTTCGTGTATAAAAGAGAAATTGGAGAACTATTGTATTCGCACTATTCTATTATGTAAATTATCATGGAACGCTGTATTTTCTTTTTGTGTGCTTATCATTATCGCAAGAAACACGTGTCGTTGTTGTGGTGAACGAAGAATCTAAGACGTCGAACAATACACGGATAGCACGCGCAATCTATACGCTAATACGAGCTTTGCTGTATACACGAATTACCATATTTTAAGTAAACAATTATGCATAACGACGGTACGAAATTTAAACGATAAATCGTCACGGTCGATTCCGGCGGACGAACCAGCATCCTCGAAAATAACAACGTCGTCTAACATCTTGTCTCGCCGGGATGACTGTACGAAACGATCGATACTGTCGAGATGTACGTCCTTATTCCATGTAATCGTACGCACTGTCGTGTTATACTTGTTTGAAGACTGCTTCCGTTACAAAATTTACGATAAATAAAATATAATTCAAATATAAAATGGTCGATATCTCTCACTCCTCGTTTTTCTCTCTCTCGCGCGATACAGCCAACGAATAAGAAACAAATGATTTTTCTTTAATATTTTGCTTTATTTACAAAAAGAAATACAGGTATAAAAAGATTTTTAATTAATGAATTATGCTACAGTGTCATACAAACTATCGGGATTAATGATGTTTAAGCATCCCGATTTTGGAATGAAGAAATTTGTTAAGTCTCTGCTTATCTCGGTATGCAGATGTAGATACTGATATTTGTCAGCATGTCGAGTATTCAATAACACTATGCCGACATCGGCCACATGTGCGTATCTTAATTCATACGAATCGTCTTCGTGTACGATACTCGCGCTAGTTATTATAGCGTGTTCTATGCATTGACTTAATGAGCATCCTCCTTCCTTGCAAACCGAGTCCTTTACAACGTTAATTCTAGACAAAACTGACACGTCCAAATGAGAACCTGGTAGAAACATCAAATGTTATTAAAAGAATAAACGAAAATCATATTTCTGTCGCTGATATTTACCCAGAAGAAACAATGTCGCCTCGTGTGCGAGAAATGCGTCCACTCGTTGTACAGCAGGATTATTGTAAATCGATATACTTTGCCAATAATTACCTTCTGGATAATAAATAAAAACCGACGTATTTATTAAAAATAGTTTTCCATCCATAACACAATGAGGAGGAACACTGGTAAAACTTTCAGGAACCTTTGCACCCTTTTTCCATGTGCCAGTATGAATATCAAGAATATCAGTCGTAAATAATTTCAATCTATGCCTTCCGACACCGCCTATTATCGTTAATTTATTTTTCAGAAACACGGCAATCATGTGTCTCCTTGGAACTGGCATCTTTGCTTCGTAATACCACTTTTTAGATAGTAGAGAATAACGCCAAATAATGTTGTTAAAGTGTCCAGTACCTAAACCCATTTCTCCTCCAACTGTATATATATTGAATCCTAAAAATAGCTTAAATGACCACAAGATCTTCCTCTTAAAACATAACAGAATAAATGTATACCTCTACTAGTGACTTGCATTCCAACTATAGAACTCTCTGAATCTTGTTTGTGTTTTAATTGCATGCATTTGGACAATACGTTATCCTTCCAAATATACAAATATGGATCTTTGTTAATACATTCGTATGTTTTGTACACAACAATGCCTTGTATAAACTTGAGTAACCTGTTTTCCATTATATCTGGAATATCTGGTGTCTACAATTGAAATATTATCAAACCAAGTATGAATATACTATGTAATCGAGCAGCATAATAATTACCATGTGATGGTGTATCCATTGGTTTCTTACAAAACACAAATATTCCATAGAAGATCTTGTATTAACATTTTGAAGCAACAGAGTAATATTACTTTTGGTCAACTCCAGAAGTGAAGGTAAAGGAAGTTCTTCGAAACGATCTAAACAAGTAGCAAGACACATGTCTTGTAATACTTTAATGTTCAATTCTTGGGCCAGTAACCATATATCGATTACTTTGTCTGGTAGCAGCCAATTTATAGTAATAATATCTATAGCTTCATTTGTTAATTCATCCACCATAAATAGTACACTCAATTGTAATAAATTTAATAATTCTATGAAATTTTCTTTTACAAATTTACTCATAGAAACTTTCAACGGATGACACAGAACATCTACTGGTTCTGCATCATCGTGGATCCATTCGACAAAACTCTACAAAAATACAAAGGATCACAGTTATTCCCATGAATGATGGGGACATATTTATTATATTAATTAACAACAATAGAAACCTTCAAGGTAGATAAAGAAATATCATAATTAACAACGTGTTCCTTGTCATGGGAATCATTAAAATTGTGTGAAAATAGGGATGCAAAGTAACGGCTTTGTTTCGCAAGTCTTTCTTTATTTACTTTGATACGATGATCATCGAGAATCAAAGTTAAAATTTCCATTATATTTGCCCCACAAGGGTTCTACCGTCGCACAGTGGGACAGAATTAAATTATAGGTTAGACAATGGATGTATCCAATTGTAAGTATATAATTTCGTTATGTATGACCAGGAATTCTAGGCAGCCAGTGGGCAGATACAGATTTAGTAGATGTTATAAAAGTAACAAATGATACATAACAATTACAGATTACAGTACAAATATAAAGAAACATATTAAATAAAGTTTTGCAATTCAAACTTTCGCGCTCTTTTAATTCAACCCAATAGCCATCTAGCGGTAGAAATAACGAACTAATTTTCGGAGTATGGTCAGCGCCTCTATCGGGAACACGCTCAAGTTTGTCGCTGAATAGTTCCTACATACACTGCTAGATGGCGCCATTTGTTCCATCAATTTACCGACATGTCGATAATTGAACAAATGGCGCCATCTAGCGGTGCCAGTAGGAACTATTCGGCGACAAGCTTGAGCGTTTTTCAGATAGAGGCGCTGACTAAACTCCGAAAATTAGTTCGTTATTTCTACCGCTAGATGGCTATGAGTTTGAAGCAAAAGGGCGCGAAAATTTGAATGTAGTTCTGTAATCATTAAATATAATTTCTTCTGAGATGTCTTTAACACTTTAAATATTTCTTTTTATTAAATTTTAAGCGATTATGAATATCTGTAACACATTTGTGATACCTATTCGAAAATATGGAGAAACATATTATACATGTGTGCTTGTGAATGCACTTCATCATCCACAGTATTCAAGCCTCTAAAAATATGCGATTATTATGATGTATTAAAACTTTTATGACGTAGTTTAAAGCTAAAACCTGTTACTACTAATCTATTAATTATGAACCGCTACGTATAATATATTTTTACATTGTTTTGTCTTTTCATCTTTTCGTCCAACGTACGTCAGATATACGATACTTACCTGGGTGGAGGCACAGAGGACCAATAGCAGTGAATGTTTTCAGGGTGCATAGTCCATATTTATTCGGATATATTCGAGCTCGAAGCAACCCGCTCGTTTCTTACTGAGATATGTTCGCAACACGATAGTATCGTTCGCTTATGTTTTCGTTGTGACTTTTCTAATAGTTTCTGTGTAGAAATAACACCTTGTTAACGGCGAAGAATGACAGACGGTACGGGGAACGATGATACGACTGCTTTCAACACGATATCGGGTAAGTTTTCAGATTCCCTTTAATGCCTTGCTTCTGACACCGGCCATTTGAGGTTAGATCGCTCGAAGCACAATGGTTTTTTCTCAGACAAAAGGATTTCGTTTCAAAAGGATTTTAAAATATATGGGTTGGATACTCGTCCTTCGTGGAAGTCTCTACTCTATTCGCATCGATATCCATGAATGTTTTAATTGTATATTATACAGAAACTCGTAGAGGTGACCTTAGAATCACGAATACTCAACGTTTTCGTATATACCACGCGGTTAGTGGCTATAGCACATTTTGAAATATATGTATATATCGATAAGTGTAAGCGTTTCAAATTAATTCACGAAATATAGATAAATCTTAAGAAATAATTAATATTCGTAATACCTACCTTACAGACTCGCCCAAGGTGGAAACGTATACAGCTGGTCCTCTAGTTTTATATTCAACGGCGCAGGCATGGGCAGCTCAGTTCCATCGCAGTCTTACAAGTACCAGAATATCGGAGTCTTCGGATGACGAAGACTTTTCCCAATATCAATTCGAGGATGACCTCGAGTACCTGAGGTCCTTGGATCCAAAGGAGTGGAAAGATCAAGACCATTACGCTGTCCTAGGCTTGAAAAAGCTCAGGCACAAAGCAACCGAAGATATTATAAAAAGGGCTTGTACGTAATGAAAGTTCAAAGTATACTCTGTAAACGAATGTAGGTGTTATGTCGTTCGCTATCTTGCCCGATGCCACGATTAACGCGGTTGAGGAGTATTTGATGCGTGAATTACAGATAAGCAGAAAATCCTCAAACATCATCCCGACAAACGGAAGGCGATGGGCGAGGAAATCCGGCCGGACGACGATTATTTCACCTGTATTACGCGGGCCTGGGAAACTCTGGGTACCACCGTGAAGAGGCGGAGTTACGACAGCGTAGATCCTTATTTTAACGACGATTTGCCGGATGAGAAAGACTGTAAAAACAATTTTTATATAGTAATGGGTAAGGCATTTAAAGAGAATGCCAGGTGGTCCGTGAAAAAGCCTGTGCCGCGATTAGGTGGACCCGACACGCCCCGAGACAAAGTCGAAAAGTTCTACTCGTTCTGGTATGACTTTGATTCGTGGCGCGAATACTCTTACCTGGACGAGGAGGACAAAGAAAGCGGACAGGAGTAAGTATAGGACGTTGCGGAAGAACGCCACTTTTGGGCCTGAAAAAAATGCCAACTGATATAGAGATAATTGAATTTTCTAACTTAAAGTTGACCCCCTGTCTCAAATTTAGCCGATACTTAAACTTCTCCTTTTCTCTTTAATCGCGGTCGTTTGTTTAGCCGAGACATGCGCAAGTGGATCGAGAAGAAGAACAAAGCCACGCGCGCAAAGCGGAAGAAAGAAGAGATGACGCGTATACGTAGCCTCGTCGACATGGCTTATAACATAGATCCCAGAATAAAGAAGTTCCAGCAGGAAGAGAAAAACAAGAAGACGGCGGCGAAGAAGGCAAAGCAAGAGGCTGCGAAAGCGCGACAGCAGGAGGAGGAAAGGATAGCGAGAGACCTAGCCGAGAAGGAGAGAGTAGAAAGGGAAAAGCGGGAAATCGAAGAGAAAGCAAAATTGGACGCGTTGAAGCAAGAAAGGGAGGCGCAGAAGAAGGCCCTCCGTAAGGAACGAAAAGCTTTAAGGGATCTCTGCAAGGCTAACAACTATTTTGCTGAGAATTCAGCGGAAAGCATCAGGCACATGGAGAGCGTAGAAAAGATTTGCGAGCTCTTCAAGCTCGTACAGTTGGAGGACACTATGAAGAAGTTACAGGCTGAAGGCAGAACCGCGTTCCTCGAAATCGTGGAGGAAACCGAGAAGAAAATAGAGGCTGAACGCAGGATCGGTGTTATTTCCAACGACACTCGTAACACCCCCGAAAAACAAGTGAAGAGTCAGGCAGCCCCGTGGAACGAGAACGATATACAGCTTTTGATCAAAGCTGTGAACTTGTTCCCAGCGGGAACTAATCAACGATGGGAGGTAGTCGCCAATTTCATTAATCAACATAGCAGCTCTTCCGCCGGTGTGACACGCGACGCGAAGGAGGTTCTCGCTAAGGCTAAAGATTTGCAATCGACGGACTTCAGCAAGTCTAGCCTGAAAGAACAAGCGAACAAGAAAGCCTTCGATAATTTCATCGCGGAGAAAAAAGCCAAAGAGTCCGTCGAGGATCGAATGCCCGCTGTCACAGAGCGTTTAGATCATATTCCGAACGGCGTCACCCCTGAGCAAAGAGACGCGAAAAAGGAGCCTCAGCCATGGACGCCCGCTGAACAGAAACTTCTAGAGCAAGCTCTGAAGACTTATCCCACGACCGTGCCTGACAGATGGGATCAAATCGCAGCGTGCATACCGACTAGGACGAAAAAGGAGTGCATGAGGAGGTATAAGGTATGTACATACCTCACACCTTGATTACTTTGGCCATCGTTATCGATAAAGTTCGACAATATCCATTTTTATTTTGTTTTTCAGGAGCTGGTGGAGCTGGTCAAGGCGAAAAAAGCGGCGCAAGTGATGAAATAATATCAATCTTTGTTTGAGAAATCTTTTTCTAACTTATTTCAACTCGAAATTCAGACGACTCCGCGAATCATTTCGAGTAGAGAAACGTTCATTGAGTTTGGAAGACGGATGAATTTCAGCTTTCACCGGAATGCCAGCTATTGTATATACTTGTGCCTTGCTTTAGTTTGTACGTGCACAGTTTGTAACAGGCTAGGAATCTTCTGCTACTTACACGCGTTGAAACAATCGCTGCGCACCAACTGTACATTCGTGGCAATCGTTAATCGCATGGAAAAAAATCATGTTTTCCCCTCCGAGAACCTTGTCAATATTTCTGGAAATACATTTCTTTTTATTAATTTTTTTTTTTCTTGTCCATGCATCGTTCCTTCCGCGAGATTTCATGTAAGTAATGTAAAATACGACAGTATATCAGAGCGAACGCAGTCGAGGGCGAAACTTACCCCATCCTACATTATAAATAAAGACGAATAATATTTCGAAAACGCAGTATAACTGGATCTTCACATTCCGACATAAAACCAACAGCGTAAGATGTTTGAAATCCTTATATTTTAATTTGACACATTTTTTGACAACATTAACAACAACAACTTTTTTCTGTTAGTTTTTCGTTTTTCTTTTCTAGTCAGCGATAACCGTGTCCATGCAGTTCTTTTACGTCGATCTAGCCAGTCTCGTTCGAACACTCTCGGAACCGCATGCTCATACGTGTATATAACGTTTCAATGTCTCTCACTCTCTCTCTTTCTCTCTCTCTCTCTCTCTCTCTCTCTCTCTCTCTCTCTCTCTCTCTCACTCTCTGCGCTAAACATTTCGCTTGATCAAACTCATGTTTTACATCCTCGATTTCAAAACGAGCGTGAAAATTGGAAAAAATTATACGGTAGATTAATCGCCCGTTCTATTCGACGATCGATCGATTTCTGTTTTTATTTATTCTCGAGTAGAGATTCGATTGGTTCGCGTATTTTTTTTAAAAATGCTGTGGTTGTAGGCTGCAGAGATGGACAAAATTTCGTTCGAGTGGAAGAGAAATAAAATTGTAACATTTTGTTTTCGTAGTACAATATTCAATGGGATAATCGATCAAGTAAATGTTGTATTCAACGAGTAATGTTCATCTTTTATTTGTTATTCGAATCTTTTATCCAGGTAGAAATTTTGCTCGTCTCTGGCAGGCAGAAAGTGCACATTTACGGTTTCTATTTCCGTTTAAGAACTGCTCGGATGCAACGACTATCCGTCGCGCGTCGATCGATTGGTCTTCGAAATTGCAAATAACACAAACAGAAAAGAAAGGTACAATTTCCCTGTAAAGCGTAAGCCTGGACGGCCGCGAGTCAGTTTCGAAATCCTCGACTTGAGGTCGCGTCGCGATCGTTCGCATCGGCCATTCGTACAACGAACGTGTTCTATTCTTTGACTCTTTGCGAACGCGACGGTTCGTTTTGCGGTGGATTCGAAAGCAGTCGACACAACCACAAAGAAAATTATTTAGAAAATTGACCGATCACTTCTTGAACATCGTATTTGAGAAGATTAATTTTTAAAATACTCGAGTATATCAAATTAATTTAGAAACAGTCGTTCATAGAAGAACAAGCAATTTTATTAATAGTCTTTGATTTAACGATTCACCTTATTTACCAACGAGCAAAGTCTTTGATTCGATAAAGAAGCAAAAGGAGCAAAAATCGAACAGAAAAACGGCAGTATATATCGTGTGCGTGTCTGTCGGTTGTGCATCAGGATCTTAATCTTTCGCGGTCCTGGGTCGAGCGAAGCTCGACGGAAATGCACCGAGAAATCCGAGACTCTGAACCGCGAAGGGTTGATTCTGTAAAATTTCTAATGAACTAACGAGAGTCGTGAATGTACGATAGTACTCGGGTTTCCTCCTTTGCTCACGAATTGATTTACTGTTGGACTGTCGAGGCGTCCTTGTCGAAACGCATCGAGTACATCTATTAATTAAAAAAGCTGGTCTCAGTTTGCGCAAGCATTGTCTTAACAAAAATAAACGGCGCGAGTAGCGTGTGTGAGAGCTAGAGCTGTTCGAATTTCAAGATATTCCCATTCTGTCTTTCTATTTCTTATTTGTAAATTTTTACCAGCTTTCTCGCGTGATCCTGAATTTCCAACAGGTCTAGCGAGAGCCCAAGCTGAGTGCCACGTGTTCGATGGAGTCGAACGTTCGAAGATTCAGAGAACGACAAGTTCGCGCTTGATTCTCGACGGAACGTCGTCCGTCCAGAGATAGTATAGAAAATGTTGGTCTCTCCAAACGCGTCTACTACACAGGAGACGCGACAGCGGTGTGTCTCGGGCGTCTCTACTAATCCGACGTTATTACGATTCATAGGTATAGAACTCTTCTCATCTACGCGCAATAATCTACGATTTCGGTGTAAACGCCACTTTACAACAGTATAAAAAGATCGCTATAGACAAAGACGCGCGCAATCGTTAGAAAGACGCTGGAATAAAAACGAATACGAAAGATCGAGTACAATGTATACAAGTAGCGTTCCCAGGACGATTATTAAATGTACGGTTGGGAACAGGTAAAAATGCCTCGTGTCGAATTATTTGTTACTTCGCTTGCGTCCGATAATTCATTTAGAGTCTGTTAATATTTCTTCCATTTACGTGAATAGTGACTTGAAAACATTCAAAGAGAAACGATAAATTCAGGCTACTCAACACGAGATATTTTTGATTATCAAAACGTATCAGGGCGCGAGTTATAGTCACTCTCTTCGTTTATCAAGTTCGATACTCGTCTCGATCGGCTCCTCACACACACACCACGGTACCTCTACTATCGCAATCCCTAGGAAAGCGTCCAGAGATGGAAATATCGGTCAATCTATTTTTTTTTTTTAAATGGTCGTCAGATTTTGTTGGTTCCCTTGTCGGCGAAGGGCTAGCGTCGAGCGCATTCTTACACCTTAGAAGACTGCATACACCACTCCTCGAAAATCAGAGACTGCCTTTCTCTTAGACTCAACGATTCGATTGAATTTTAATTACGATTACAATGGTGGAACAATTAAAATCAAGACGTGGACGCGAAGGGGTTGAACGCTCCCATGTTGCGAAGCGAGTGTTAGATTCGCAGCAACGATAGGTGATCTTAGACGTTTGAGCAGCAGCGTACATGCCACGTACTACCAGCTAAGAAGATCAATCGTCGAAATGCGGTGGGTGGTGAACGAACTAGGAGGAATCGAGAGAGAAAATACTTAAAAGAGTCGATCGTCAGTGTTGAATCGAAGCGTACAGCCTCTGGGACCCGATAATGGATCCGGAATCGACGAGGTCGGAAGGAAGCGCCAAAAAATGGCCAACGCGAATCCAAAAACTGAATACAGAGACGGGCAAACTATTAAACGTTCGTTTAATTTCGTTAACTCTAATTCTTATTCAACCAATAACGAATAAAACAGTTGTTCACATTTTATTCGTTGTTCGGGAATCGTCATCTAAATCCGAATTTTGCCCATCTCTGGTAAGCGAAAACGCGGCGAGAGGATGTCCAGAGTACGTGGTTCTGAAAATGTCATCGATGACAGATTATTGTCGACGTCGTTTCAAGGTACACGAGAAAAATACACGATCGTTTCGTTTGGGTTTTGCTCGAAGGTTCAACGGCCTCGGCGACTGCTTCCCCGCCGAACGTCTCGAAGATCTTTCTGAAGAAGGAACAGGGTCGGTCGAACATCCGCAGAACCACGTCTGTTGGATGTTTCCAATCGTACGATCGGATGTAAAATCGTGGTGCGTGGAAGGGGAACGGCTCCCACTCACGATCGATTCGTCCTGCGGTCTCGGAAACTGCGTAGGAAAACCAGAGATGGGCAAACAAAAATTTCATTCGAGTGAGAACAACGTACAGCGATTTATTCGCGACATATCCCATTGAACAGTTATACAAATGAACCTTCGTGCGTCTCCTTTGCTCTATGTATCAAAGATAATTGAGATTGCGTTGTACATTATACGGTAACGTCAGCCTCTATTTGTTCAAACGCGAGACGCGATTGCTACAATTCAAACTCCGTTGTCCATTCGACGAGTAAGGTTGCAGAGGTTGTTTATCTTTCGTTCGTTGTTCGAGTCGGTATCTAGACTTTTGCCCATCTCTGAGGGAAACGTTAGGCGCGGGCTCGCACTCTCTCGCGCTCGTTCTTTCCTGGCATGCGCGCGGTCCTCTCACTCTTTCACACTTGTACGCGTTCCTCTTGCGGCTATAAGAATATATACGGAGTCAAAATTTTCGTTGGGGGGCGCAATTTGTAAAAATCGAGTCTAAAACTGGGACCCGGGGTCGGGGAAGAGTAAAATCGTCGGTGCGTTCGATAGAAAGGAGTCGGAGTCGGTATCGGTAAACGATTTCGCGCGAGTGGTAGGCGTTTCCGGAAGTGGACCGTCGATGGTCCACAAAACAGCGACGCGAGGGCCGAAACGTAGTCGTCGAGCACGAACGAGTGTACCCGATGGATCTGAACTGGGTTCCGTAGGAATATACAAGGTCTATCGAAACTGTAGGCAATGTATAAAGTGGATGATAGAATTCGCAAAGTTAAACAAAAAGGTTTCGTTGAACGGAGGCATTTGGGGGAGGTAAACGAATCTAGGGAACGGGAGACGATAATAAAACGAATATAATAAGTTTAAAGAGAGGATAAATATGGACGTTGGAAAATGGAAGCAATTTAAATGAATATATAGGAGACATAGAAGGAGAACTTAGAGATCTATGTCTACACATTTTTGTTTGTCTTTGCGAGTTTAAGGTCCAGGTCAGACTTCACCCACAATTCTAATAGATTATGCTCGTATCTATAGGTATCATTTGATCGTCGCGGTAAATTGTCTGGCGAAAGCGTCGATCGTGGCCAAAATTGATCGCGAACCGTGGTTCCTGGCGCAGAAGTCGAAACGAAATTGATACAGCTATCTTTTATTTCGGATGTGATTCGATAAATGAATATGGCCCGGTAAGAGTATGGCTTACTGTCATTTTAAATCAAGGCCAGCACTCGATCTATACAATTTGAAATTTCTGTATTTAAACAACGATGGCCTGGCAGCCAGGAAACACTTCTCGCGCGTCGGTTGGCCGATCGTGCGCAGACTCAACCTAGGCTGTACAAACGAATCTCGCGGCATTTGCGTTTATCGGCCATTTATCCTCACGCAACGTATATGTACAATTACGGTACGAATAATAATTATCTATAATATCGTTACAAGTATCGGTAGCGTACACATTCAACACGCAACTTGCTTCGTAATTCGCGGTAACGGTACTTCGTTCTAAGTTGATAAAAGTCTCTTCTCTGGTCCGAAAGAAGTTACAGATACTTAGGCACTTGTTATCTCATCTAGAATCCATCGTACGAAGAGCAATCGGTGAGTTCGATTTATCCTAACAACGACAATCGGAGGAATAAGTATTTTACGATAAGAATGAGAGCGATAAGGATCAATCGTCCCGCGCGAATTCCATTCATTTTTCATTTTCCTTCGTCGTCTCGAGTCATCGAGAACGCACGAGAACCTGGAACGCGTTCGACAACCATAGAGCAGTGGCTCTCAACCATTGTGCCGCGAACGTTTGGCAACAGATCCGACGAATTTTTATCTTTTATCATTTTCGAATTCCCAAGCAATTTATCATCGAACTCTTGCCGTTATAATTATCAGGATTGAGAGTTGTTAAGATTAGGTTTAAAAACAGCACTTCACAGCCGAGCCTCGTCTGCTTTACACGCGTATCGGCATTAATTTAATACGTTCATTTTACAAGTACCCAATACATAATTTTGTCATAAAGACGTTAAACAAATAAACGTACAAACCGTGCCAAAAATCGTAAGAAGACCGAGAGACTCTTCTTCGAAACCGTGCCGTGAGTTAGAAAAGATTAAGAGCCACTGCCCTTGAGAATTCAACTCCGTCTGGAATTCCTCCACGCTTTCGGTGCTTTAGCCGCTTTTCCTCTCGCGTATTTTTTTTTTTTCAATCTTTTCTTATATATTTTTTTTTTTTCGGCGCACGCACACAAAATACAAAAACAACCACCCCCCGGTACGAAGGACCGGATGGTCGCGCGATCGTTGCTCTCGTTGCTTTATTGCTTGCGTCACCCCGTCCTCTTGCGACCGTGGTCGGAATCCTCTTTGCTACCCTCTGTCCAAAGAGTTTCCCTGTCGTGGAAACGTCAACGTTTTTCCCGTCGTCTGGCGTTTCGCGCGATTGGCCATCGCAAACGCAATGGCTCGCCCGTTTGCACCAATCTCTAGATGAAATCGGTCACAAACGGACCGATTCTGTTCCCTCAACGACTCTTATCCGGCCAAGGGACCGTCATTCAGGGACGACGAGTCATCCTCGGAATCAATGGACGAAGCTCGTTCCGGAAATCGGTTCACGGAGGCGTTGGAGGTAATGGAGCCAGAAATATAGAATCGTTGGAGGGGTCGTCGTGTCGTTAAGAGGATGGCGGTTGCTGTTGCTGGGTGGGTGGCTGCGATACCGTTCCTTGACCACGGTAGTACGATTGATACTGCCGCGGCTGCTGCTCCTGCAGCGGCTGGTAGCCGATAGCAGTGGGCTGTTGGATCTGCTGGTAAGGCGGACCAGCCCAGTGCTGGTCCGTAGCCTGTTGCAGCTGATACGTAAGCGGCTGCCCGCGACGTTCTTGCAGAAGCAGCTGATGGGCTGCTCTGTCCATCTCCTCGCGGGTCATGTCTAACGCCTCCTGCATCTCGCGGGACGTGTACCTGACGAAGTCGGGATCGCAGTACTGGCCCAGCCCTTGCTCCACAAGGACCTGAAGAGTAAAGGGAGTTAGCGTTGGTGCGAATTTCTCGAGATTATCGAAAAACGAGGAAAATCGGTGGAAAGACTCACCCGACCGACGAGACTCTCCGCGCTCCCGATGACCTCGAAGTTGGGCTTCCTGTCGGCTGGACTGCCCGGAAGGCTGTGGGAGAGGCGCTCTGCGCCGATGCTTCCGTTACTCTCCCCGGCCCAGGAAACTGACGAACGAGGAGAGCCGTCAAGGTATTAAGCTAGGTCGCGCTACGCTCTGCCTCTTAAGTCCTACGATCTCGACAGCGTGCTCGTGCCACATCGAGCGTTATGGCATCAGCCGTAAGCGATCCAGACAAAATGCTGAAGCGTACCAAGCCAAGTAGTTCTGGCAGAACGCATGCCTCGAGCGACACAGTGTCGTCATGCTGATACACGCGCTTTAACCCGTCCACGTCTCTCTTCGTGTCCGTGTGTCGTATGTGCGAACCAAAAAACGTGCTCGTGCAGAGTGCAAGTTTAGCTCGGAGATGGGCAGAGTCTCATCTGAGATACCAAACGACGAACGACTGTTGTCGAGATCAGAATCTTTTAATAAAGGAAGAAGGAATCTAGACGAGAATTCTGCCCTCCTCCGAAATGGAGACGCGTGCTCGGAGCGTGCGAGAAAATGGATGGGTGTAAACAATGGGACAGTCGTATTTCGTTTGCGTCGAGTTTGTGTGGTGTTGGTGTGGCGAAATGGCCGCGGGTCGACTCGAATCCGACATGAAAGCGTGCTTCGGTTCGATTCGACCTGATAACGTTTCATCGTGGAAGGCGAGATCAACGCAACAATGATACCGATGGAGTTTCGGGTTTCGTGGATGCCCGATGAACGCCTTCGTGACCGAGAACTGCGCTTAAACCTTTACTATATGAAACATTTCTCGCAAAAGTTTGAAAGCTGACTTCTTGGAACTAAATCCAAGTGAAACGACAGCAATTTGTATCAGATAAAAAGCATCTGGACCGGTCGCGAAAGGCGTGAATCGAAGGAGCGAACGGCAAAGCATTAGGACAAGGGGGAAGGAGGGGGTTAGTCACCTCTGCCGTGGTAAGAGGCCCGATGGGGCAAACAGGAGCAGTCGCGGCATCGACGGGTGTCGACATCGGCGAGGAAGCCAGCGACGGCGATCGCCTGCGTCTGGGCGAGCTTCAGCCCGTTGGCAACGGTTCTCTTGACGCCTGTGCTCGGTGTAGCCGAGCTGCTCGACTGACCGCCGCCGACGCCGACACCGACGACGCCCACGCCGACGATGCCGCTGCTGGCGTCGCCACGTTTACGGAAACTCGACGGCGCCGACTTGCCAGCCGGATCGCATCGACCACGACCACGGGACCGAGACGCCACGGCGAGCTCCTGCCTCGTGGATCCTCCTCGTCTTCTGACCTTCTCGGAGCTGCTCCAACCGCTAGAACCTCCGGAACTTCCGGTCCCGCCGGACCCGCTGAACTCGCTTCCCGCTGACGACTCCCCGTCCTCGCGATCTACGGCTGCCGTATCCAAGGCGGTACAAGTTGTGCCTCGCATAACGATCGAGGGATTCGAGACGATTATCGATAGGCGAAGAATTATTTTCTTGGAATATTTTTTATTGGACTTGGGTACCTCGTAAGGCGAGACAGAAAAGTTGCGTTAGGTAATTCGAGCAAGAGATTTGATCGGTATACAAGACGCTACTGTAACCGCGCTTTAGCACTGCCGTGAAATTTTTGGCTCTTTCGCGAGTATCACGTCGAATGATTCTTTGTGTAAAGATAAATTGAAAAGGTGGAATGATACGTAGTTTTACTTACGAGGCTTCGTTTTCGAGGAAAATAACTTTGAATATTGGCAAGTGTACCGAAAACTCGATGATTAGCTGATTCAGCTGGAATATTATAAGGTCGAGCAGGTGTGACTATTGCTGGCTGTTTCTACTTGCGTTGGGCACTTTGTAAAGACTGACGGCGGAATGGGTTAAGTAGAACCGGCGAGCAATGGTCAGACACGTTGTCCAAGCTGTATTATATTCGTATGTCAGTCGCAGGCGTCCCTCAGGACTGTCTCTCGAAAACAGAGCCTTCTATAAACAAATGTTATTCTTCATTTCCACTTGATTGTAACACGAAGAATCATCCACCTCTAGTTTGAACCACTAATCGATCAAACAGAGGTGAGATAACTCAGCGACGCGCGATGGAGATATCGAATGGTATCTTTAAATCATATTTACCGAGCTTTGCCCCAGTAATACATGTACATACGTAGAAAGTAGTGCTCCTTTCGAGCAAAGCAGAGCGTATTTACTGAAACAAGACAGTAACTGAAGCCCAGGGTCCACCTGGCCAACCATTAGAGCAGTCTCTTTTAATAAATCTGCCTTCCTCGAAGAGGCCATTATTCAATGTGTACGTATCGAATGGTACACATAAGAAGAAGCTTTGACAGACAGAGAGAGAAAGATAGAGACAGAGAGAAATTGTAGATCGTACCGTGATTACTCCAGACGGCACAATCGACGCAGCAGCCCCGCGTCGCGTAGGAATAGTAACATCGCTTTCCATTGGAGGATGAACCAGGGCTCGAGCTGGTCGTGGCGGTCGACGTGTTCGTGCTCGATGTGCTCGTGCTCGTGCACGTGGCGATCGACGGGGTGCCGCTTCCGGACTTGCTGGACGATAGTTGCGCGGGGTGCGGGGCAATGCCGGTGCTCGGGGCTATGGACGGGGGTGGGTTCCTTCGGGGTGGTGGCGTCGGTGGGGTTAGCTGCCGCTCGATTCCGTCCTGAAGACTGCTTCGAGCAACCGCGACGACGACGACGAAGACGGCGACGCGCGTCGAATATAGCCACGCGACACGGTCACACAGAAAACGGGCAAAAACCACTCTCTTAGTTTGTTAGAGGCTCGCCACACGTGCAACACCCTCACATCGTCCTCCTCGAGAACCTCGAGCTGTCGTTTAATGGTCGATGAAACAAACGTAGTCATCTTTGCAATTACAGTTTCGTATCCCACTCACCTTAAACAGTTAACCAACTATTTTTTCAACGATATACTTTTGACCAGTTCCGTCTCCTTGCAAGAAAGAACATGTGCTTATTTCTATCACAAATTTTCATGCGTTACTCGTCGGCAATGTAAATTAACGAATCGATTCGGTGTTCCTTGTTTACATGGATCAAATGTTCCCTTAAAATATGGTTTCCTCGAGATCACTACATTTGCTCTACCAACCAGCCTCGAGGCGCTCGACGAAATCGCGGAGTTGAGAAGCGTCCGAATCAACCAATTAAATGATAACCGCGACGGGTGTAGAGAAACGAAGAACACGGCATGCAAAATCGGTTCTACCGATTCCTATACGCGCGAACCCGCGTACCTCTCGTCGGTTCTCAACTATATTCAACTATTCGCGACTATTCGACGCGTACTGCCGTCGAGATTCCCTCAAGATTCTCGACGAGCTCGGTGGTTAGTGGTTACGCATGCAAGCGCGCAAGCGAGAAATGCTAGTTCGATCAAGTAAAAGCCAACTATGTGTCAAATCCCATATCCCTAACTTGTCTTACCATATTCGCTATTCGGATGAAGGTAATTACCGCTACCTGGACCACTGAAACGTACGATAGTAAACAAAAGACCGTAGAGAGATATTCAGAGATTGCAGAAATTCGCGCGGGATTCTAATCCTTTCTTTAAACCTTCGCCTTTCGTTCCCTGGCCTCGATAATTCAGCCTAATTTATGTCGTGTGTCCAGATATTCTCAAACTATTCGGGTCACGTATGCTCGCTAAGAGTCTAACACAACATGCTCCGCTATGTTTGAAACCGCCATCGCAACATGTGCAACTCAGTACACGAATTTAAACGACCTTGCATCGTGCTTAGCGTTAACGATTATCCGTTACTATTTCTTTTCAACATCGTGTCGTCTATGTTACGTCCTCTATTATCTCGTGTTTCTTAATAATGTTCTAGTCTAGATACGATCCGTAAGGGAAATCGTTTAGACAGTTTCAAATCTAACCGTATCGATGCGATCACCACCATAGAGACGGATACTTGGACGTCTAAAACCGGCAGAATTCGTATTGGTTCTCTACTTACTCGACCACTTTGTACGGGGGATGGTAAGATTGTTGCTGGACGGGATTTCCAAACATGGCCAACGGTCTCAGAGGAATGTTCTCCTCTATGCCCGTCAGCTTTTGGTCCATTCCCATTTGATTCATCGCGCTGTCGCTGAGACCACTAGACACAATTGGGTACGTTCCGCGTTAAAAATTCGATCAATGCGATGTTTGAATGCTTTCGGATAAGCTATAGTCGCGGGAATCGCGTGAAACTAACCCTGCTACGTTTGGCACAACTTGATGAGACCTTGCGGTGATTTGATTCGGTGCATCGAGTCCGCCTGCTCTGTGCAGCGAGGAATACGGCAGGAAGTCTATGGAATTCGTCGGGGAAGCCTGCGAATCAAATTTAGCGAATCGACGATCTTAATCAAGTTTCGTTGCGTTCCGATTCTTAAAGGAGAATGTCTACCTTGGTCGTAGAGTTCACTTTGAGCGACCTCGCCCTGTTGAAACCGTGGTGTCCCTTCCTCATGCTGGACCAGACGCTGCCGAAGAGTGAATGGTTCCTCTGTAAAATGAAAGGATAGCAAATTTGTCAGAAAGTTGCTTACAATGGCGACCGTCTGTGCGTGCCGCGAGCATCGATACCCTGTGCATAGGTTCCGGATTGTCGTCGAGAAGTTCCTCCAAGTTTCCAGAAATGGCTCTCTTCAGCTCCGGGCCAGCCTCGTGCAGAGTCCTTAAGCCAGCCTGTAAAGAAGCCATTTCCATTAACGAAGCTGAATCGAAGGCCGCGGGCTTGCAAATGCGTTACCTGAAGCGTGACGGTGTTGTGACAGTCCTTGTCGCCGTCCTTCATCTCCTGCTCCTTGCGTTTCTTGAACCTCCGGAAGTAGTCCTGGATCAGGAAAGTCGCGTAGAACTTGCCGACGGTTACCTCGTCGTCGACTGGAAAATATTGTTTTCCTTTTATGATGAAACTCGAGACGATAAATTTCGAAGTTTAGGTGAAGAGAAATACCTCCCGGCGGTGGTACCACTTGATCCAAAAGCTTCGGGCTGGTTCTCTTCCAGATTTTCTTTATCACCGCCCTAAGCTCAGCGTTCGCATCGTCGATGTTCCCCTCGGTCTTGATTCGTAACGACGTCCTCACCACGGCGAACAACGTCGCGTTGAACAAGACCGTACCGTCGCTGTTTAGCGGCATATTCATCGAGACCAGCCTCTGAAGATATTTGCGATTAAAGATTAAAAAGAGTACAAGGATAAAAGTACCTCGGTGAAATGGTGAGACCTGAGGGAACTCGACGATTAATTATTTCGATTGTTATTTGTAGTGTACCTCTGAGATCTCGTAAGGTTATTCGTTCGTTATACGAACCTTGCACGCCACGCGATGAGGACAGAGTTTACCGAACCCCAGGGGCGGCGATATCTTCCTGAGGAGCGTCACGACGTCCAAGTGCTTGATGCGACCCTTCGCATCGGGATCGTATTCGGACCAGAGGCGAATGAACTCGTCCAAATGGTGGGGACCCAGGATCGACCAATCCCTCGTCAAGTAATCGAAATTGTCCATGATTACGGCGACGAAGAGATTGATGATCTGAAGAGGAACGATCGTTCTCGTGCAAAAATTGAACACTTGCTCTCGCGATCAAATAAATTCATCTACTTACGAGGAAAGAGCATAAAACGTAGAAAGATATAAAGTAGGGAAATGCAATGTCGGATCCACAGCTATTTGTGGAATTCCACTCGTCGCTCCTGCTATCGCACTTGACATCGATGTTCGACGAACAGTCCATCATGATTTCTTGCCAAGCTTCGCCTGCATTGGCATCGTAACGAATTTATGACCGTTGCAAATTTTATATACGAAGATTCGTTAACGTACCTGTAGCCGATCTGAATAGGACCAACACCGCTTGCGGAAATGATTGGAAGTTATTGTTCCGGTTTATCGACGTAGTGTCGTTGATCGCAATTTTTCCAAACACCTACAACATAAACATGTTTTTCACAGATCCCAACCTCCACCTTCCATAAACCAAAGCTTTCCATTTTGATCGCTTACCTGCATACCTATCACGGCGTAAATAAAAAATAGCATTATAATAAGTAGAGCTACGTAGGGGAGAGCTTGAAAGGATTTAATGAAAGTCCAGAGAAGCGTCCTGATGCCTTCCCCTCTGCTCAACAGTTTCACCAGTCGCATGACGCGAAACAGCCGAAAGAAGTTAATGGAAATGATGGCGTAGCCCGGCTGAAAGTTTCACGTCTCCGTTAGAACGCGTTCCCCTTGTCCTTCCGTTTGTTTGCGAACGTGAGATATCGAGAAACTTACATTGACTTCCGAGTAAACGATGTCGATGAAACTTCCAAGGACGATAATGAAATCGAAAACATTCCACGCGTCGCCGAAGTAGTTCTGCGAGCAACGTTCGCGTCAAGTTATAATCGTGGAAGTTGTTTGCCTTTTCAAAGTAAACAACTTCGTGGGTAGGTGTTCGCGGCTTCCTGGAGCGATACATTTGTTAAAACGTTGACCTTAGGGGAACTACTTCGATAACTTTGTCCACGACTGTACCGATGTAATCTATGTATATAAGAACGAAGCCCTGAACCTAGAAAGCTAAAATTTTCCACAGAGGTTTTCTTTATGATGTATACAAGGAATAAGAAAGGATACTATCGTAAAATATCGATAGAAACAGAGTTACAGAAAACAAAAGACAGTCACATACTGATTCGCGAATGAACACGCGGTCAAATGCGAACGACATAAAATAAATAGTATTCCAGGCAAACCGCGAGGCACAGCTATTAAGAATATGAATGCAAACAGTTGTATCGCTTGGGAAGACCACGAGCAGCTACGAAATTTCCGTTAAATGTTTCAGTATTTCGCTCATTAATCCTATCGAGCCGAGAGACTACCTTGAACCGAAAGGCAGCCAGCTTGAAGACGAACTCCATGGCGAACACCGCGGTGAAGATCATGTTGAGGACGTCCAAAGCCTCCGTGTAAATTTCCGGTTGTCTATAGAACTTCATTGCCAGCGTCACGGTGTTGATCATGATCAAAGTGAAAATGGTGTACTCGAACGGTTGAGAGGTAACGAACCACCAGACTTTGTACTGTATTCGATGCTTCGGTATGTATCGCCGCACTGGCTTCGCCTTTAGCGCGAACTCGATGCAGTTTCGCTGCACATTTAATTGGAAAGACTTGTAAGCGTGCGTGAACTCGGTCGATCAGAGGGACGTGCATGCGTGCGATGGGCAAAATTTTCATCGAATTGTAAATAACGAATGGGAGTAGGTAAGAATAAATTCGACGCGTCCATCTCTTATTCGTTATTCGATATTTCTACGTAAGAATTTTGCCCGTATCCGATGAAGAATCTAGTCTTCCGGCAAATGAAACATGTCGTCGAAACGCTACACTCACCTGATTCTTATCGAGCTCGCAGTTTTTGTACTCTTGCTCACCCTCGTTCTGGAAAGTGACAATAACGAAACCAACGAAGATGTTCACCATGAAGAATGCTATGATAATGATGTAAATTATGTAGTACGCGGCCACTATCGGCCGAAAATTATGAATTGGTCCATGATCCTCCTTGTTAGAGTCGATCGACACGTCTAGCAATCTGTTGGGAGAGAAAACGCTAAGGGATGCGCACCGAATGCTCGGAAATTTCTTTTTTAACCCTCCATAACAATCCCTCGTCTGGACTGACCCTACGTTGCGTTTAATTAATGCTTTGTTTACTAGATAATATAATAGATACTTATATACAAATATTGCATCATATTTTTCGATAAATTCTGCAAGATTTGTTTTCGTCGGATACGTCCAGTTGGACATGTTACGCAACACAGGGTTAATCCTATGATCGATAGGTATCAATTTCAGAAATATTGTGCTTCCGATTGGTTCTCGTTTCGGATGAGGTACAAGAGAGAAGCTTATGCGAATCGACGCGACGCGAGCTTACTTACGACGGCCAGCCCTCGAACGTCGAGACGGTGAAGAGCGTGAGCATCGCCTTGGCGACGTCGTCGAAATGGAAACGGTTCTGGTGCCATTCTCTCTCATTCATCACCGGCTTGTTAATGTCCCCCATTTCGAACTCGAGGTACGTGCCCCTAAAAAATGGGTTATTTTCAACGACATCCTCCACCTTCAACCACCTCTTCCTATACTTTATTTCGGGGTGTCGTCGATGTCGTCACTGAGGGAATTTTATCTCTATTTTATTTCGTATTCTTTTTGATTTTATTTTACTTAATTTTATTACAGTAAAATCTTTGAGAAAATGATCCCCTGCGACGACGACGAAAAACGGCACTCTGTTTAAGTACTCGTGCTCGTCATATAACTTACTGGCACTCCTCTTTCGTCATTTTCGATGCATCGGTACAAGAGAAAAATTTCCCCTACATAACACAAGAAACCCATTAATGCGAGAGAAATTGCTGCGAGGTGCAGCCAAGAGGCTTCGCGCAAAGTTTCAAAGCCACGGAACGTAACCGATACTCTCGGCTATCCCGGTACTCGATTTGCGTAACTCCCCAGAGTTAGCCGATAATTATGGATGTTAAACCATGGATTTAGGAATATGGCCAACCTTTGATACACAGGCGACGACGTGTAGCTGTTTCTAAATTTGATTGGAAGTCCGATCGATTAAAACGTCCAAATCGAAGCTAGTAAAGTGATTTGAATTCCGAATCCTAGATCCACAGGGAGAATCCAGAAGTCAAGAGCAGCGGTGACGTTCGTCGATACAGTGAAAATAGCGTTTCGTTAATTGGCCATTCTCTTGGTAGAGCAAAGACAGACAGCAGCGAGTGATCGAGCAAAAGTAAGGAAAGATGAAAGAAAAATCGTGAAGTGACAGGGAAAAGAACAGCATTCCGTTTACCGTGCGCACATATAATACATAGATAATACAGATATATACTTTGATATATATAAATATATACAAAAGGTACGCCGTGATGCAGACTGTCTCGTTTGGCCTACGTCAATCGACGTGGATCGTGCACGAGTGGAATCGAGAGTCCAGAAAATAATCGATGTATCGACGGTGTATCTTGTCAAGCGTTTGATAGGAATGCTCGTCGAGGCTCAGTTCCTCCTTATTCGCGAAAGAAGCCTCTGTCGAATCGTCGCTTTCTCGGTGTACGTCGTTCACGAATAACGACAGAGTCCGCGAAACGTTCAAACGAGCTCCTTTCAGAGATGGACAAATTTTTTATTCTGGATGCCGAAATCGAACGACGAAGAAGAAAAACGAGATACTTTTGATACGTTCGTTGTTCGACATGTATTATACAGTTGATTTTTGTGATGGACAAATTTAAATCGAAATAGAAACTTCTACTATAATTGAACTAGAATTGAGTAGATTTTAAAGCTCTTTTTTACAAAGAAATCTTTACAGCTGCCATGAATATTTATAAAAATTAACAAAGGATAGCTTTCGATAGAGGTATTTTCGTTACTCGAATAAAATGTTTGTCCACCTTTGATTGTTATTGTACAGATTGTACAGATGCGAACGATGCGCCACTATATACAAGGTGTTCCTAGAATGTTTTGCCAACCACTTGTCGAACGTGTCTCGCTGGCGTCGATTGTTTGGAAACGTCGCGCGATCACACCGCGTACGAGAGGTACGCCGAGAATTTGTCGTCCGTGATTTTTGCCGGTATTGTTCCGTCCATAATTGCTTGCAAGTGAAAAAGCACAGGCGATATCAATCGCGGCTCGTGCAGAAGCGGCGTAACGAGATTTTCCGAGAAGAATCGTCGCTTCGACAATGAAATTAATCGTCATAAATCGTTCTTACCGCAGGATTAAATCCATTTACGAAGCAAACGAGTAGAAATTTCCGAGATTTCAACATTCCTAATAAAATGGACCGGGCGACAATTCTTCTCGAAGTGCTCTCGAAGAATTCTCTAAACGAATTCACACGATCGAAGATAATGCGTCCCAGCGTCGCGAATCGAAGTACGCCGATTTCTCGTCGGTCTTTCGCGAAAGCGGATCTTCCGTTACAAACGACGCGATCGATCTCCCTTTACGTCGACGTTCGATCATCGCGCAGAAATCATATTGCAATGAACGAGGACACTGTGTGAGTTACGATCCGTTCCATCTTCTGAATATAAATTTTGGAAAAAATAGCGAGTACGTCGCAGAAATTCCAGACCTTTGTTTCGCCTGCCTTTCGAGGGGGATTCCATGTTTTGCCTAGGTCTAGGATACTTCATCTTTTATCTTCAGGGTTTATTAGTAGTCGGAACAACGTTCACGGTTAGTTTGCGAACGGAAATGAAAGGAAACGAGCGTCATGCACCCTTGTTACCCGTGTGAACCGTAACCACGAGTTTAATTTCGATCGTGTTTCTCTTATAAAACTTTAAAGTTCTGTTGAAGATCTAGCGATAACAACAGAGTAAATCCCACAAGCAATCATCTACGGAAGCTCGCGTCTCGATCGTTTCGAATCGGCTACCTTGCAAAATAATGCACGCGTTGGCGGATGTCTTTTTTACCACGTTATATCGCGCTTCGCGACTACGTCGGCGCGAATTATGCGCTAAGGGTTGACGCAACACTCGTAAGCCACTCTAACCGTCTACGTCTATGCGCGCTCCTACGCTTGAATGGTTCTCTACTTTGAATCTCGTTTCGTGGGACAGTCTACCTCTCGAAGCGTGGCAAAAAGCGACCCCTCGAGAACCTGAATCGCTTGACGAATTAAAAGCCCGTCGACGGAACGCCAACGACTGATCTTTGCGAAATCAATCTTTCCGTGAATGGTGAATTTCTCGATAAAAAAAAAGAAATAGAAACTGGTCATTGCGAAACACTTTCCGTAAATTGGCGCGCAGAGGGAACGATCAGAAGTTCCTTTTTGCAGCGGTGGCTCGTGGTTTCGGTGTATGGACGCGTACGACCAGCATGCACTACGATTAAAGCTTCATTCCCGCATACACAGCGAAACTTGCATGCCTAACCGTTAAGGTGTCTTTCTCTCTCTAACCGAGGCTTGTTATCTACGAAGCATTTGTCAAGTCGTACAGCGAGTAGTGATATTACTATCCGTTTCAACCCTGACCGGTTGTCTTGGCGAAGCGTTAAATCGTTACGAAGCGTGTTAACGTGCTCGTGGGTGTTATCGTGAACGCAGAGACGCTCTGCAAAGGATAATATTGGCAATCACCGGTGTCCTCGGCCAGGTCGATCGATCGACGTGTCTATCTCGCGTTTCGATAATCCAGAGATGGGCAACATTTTATTCAAACGGTACGTAACAAATAAAATGAACATATACCGATTTATGTACGACGTTTGTTCAATGGAACGATAGAGTCGTTATTTGGAAATGTTTCGTTTCCATTCTGCAATTTGGTATTCGAAATTTCGATCTAGATAAGAATTTGGCCCATCTCTGTCGTAGTCCCGTGGACCGCGAGGAGGATACCGATTCACGCAAATATTCTCCTTTGAAGAGATCGAAGGAGGATCGAGAAAGATTAGCCGTGTCGATGGGAAATCTCTGACGGACGTTGCGACCAATCAGCGTGCAGCAGCGTCTCGCGAAGTACGGGGCGGTGTAGCTTCGTTTCATCGATCGGGAATCGCACGAATGAGCGACAACGGGTTGAAAATCGGAAACGTTCGGTCGATAAAACACGGGGATTTCCTCGATTACCGTCGCCGCGCCAGAGGACGATCGTTGCGGGGGGATTTCCTCGACTTCGCGAACCGACACCCCGTATTTCGCGAGGGAAATTAAATTTCCGGTTCCGCGCGAAACGACGCGCTCACGAAGCTTCCGGTTGTAACGCGAGGCGATACGCCTGACGTCGACGACGAAGCGCAACGACGACGAAACAAATACGTGAGAACGTGTCAAAAGAAAACCAAAAATTAAGAGAGAAAAAAATATACATGGAAAGAGAAGAACGAAAGTGGTGAAACGAAAAATGTCAATTACGAAGAAAAGAAAAAAATAAAATAAAATAAAATAAAATAAAATAGAGACAAGTAACAGATACAAAAGAAAGTGTCGAAATCAGAAACAAGTAAAGCAAACGTAGAAAGGTAGAGAATTAAAAGTTCTCTCGAAGATACAGTTTTGGTTAGCGTTATATCTTTCTAAGTGGTTGGCTTTACCTTAAACAGCTGTACCCCGATAACAGCGAACATGAACTGTAGGAGATAGGTGACCAACATAATGTTGCCGATCGTTTTAATGGCGACAATCACACACTTCACTACGTACTTTATACGTAGTTGGTATCAGGGCAGGTGAGCAGGGCGAGCGAGCACAGCGGGGAACACGGGATCGTGAGACAGACAGACAGAAAGAGAAAACAAAAAAAAAAATACAAAGTAGCATTAATCGAGGGTCTGCTAGTATTCGCTCCTGGAGTTTGGGTGTTTTTAAAAAAAGGTCCATGTGTGGGGGGCTATCGGGGCTATCGGGCTAACGGAGCTGTCGGGTGTCAGGGGGTGGAGTCGGGAAGCTTTATTTTGCGAACGTCCCTTTCGTCGTTTTCGCTTTTCCGTTCCTCGTTCGTTGGCCTTCGGTTTCATTTCGATCGGAACGTCTCTGAGACGCTTCGTCTCTCCAGAGCCTCCTTCTGGAGTCTTATGGGATACTCTTTAGCGAACCACGATCCTTTCTCGTCCTCGTTATCGCCCGGGACCGCGTGTAGGCTCGTCGGTACGTTTTCCTGTCGCGAAATTTTCACGGGTACGGTCTCTCGAAGGTCGAAGGTCGAAGGTCGGTCCTTCTTGGTTTTCTTTCGGTATCATTTTAGAGACATGGACTCTAGAGTCGGTGTTTCGAATCGTGAACTAAGCCCTCGCCATCCATCCAACCCACCAGTGCTCGATGTTTTTTCTCGGCAATGCACCTATGGGGAGGGGGCCACGAGATACATATTTCCTCGTCGAATCTAATCCCCGAATCGTCTGATCCGTGATTCGATCTCGCTTCGTCGTTGGGTCGGGACGCTTTTAGTCGTCGTTTATCGGAACGATTCGCGGGCCGAAACGTCTCTTCTCAGAGATGGGCGAAATTCTGATCCAGATGTTCGAGTAATAATTCCGATTCACAAATTTCGAATAGGGAGCAGGCTTTGCTGTATCGGTAAATTCCGTGTGTCTTTGCGGAACAGTTCTTATTCTGTTTCATCAATCGATTGAAGTGACTAAAAAGGTGAAAAATTGAAAAGTAGTCTATACAATTCCCCTCATTTGTAACATCGTGTTATAAAAATAACGACTCTATTCAAATCCATGTCACGCGAGACTGGATAGTTTATAAACGAAGAAGATCCGTAATTGACAAAACGCTTAAAAAAAAAAAAAAAAAAGAAGAAGAAGAGTTTCGTTGAACGTTGGAATAACTGAGGAGATCGCGAGTCGTGTAACCGAGCTTAAATGCCTCGGGCGACCTTTAGTTTTCCAATGGCGTTACGTTTTTTGCGTCTGCCTCGTGCTATTCGTTTTAATTTCCGGAAGAGCAGCTCGAAAGAGTTTATCGATTGACGGATGTTAACCTCATTAGTCGGGAGACTAGAATTAAAAATAAGAAGAAGTAAGTTTGTTAGAGCCGACTCGGAGTTAATAATTACTCCCTCCGCTGTGGCACCGCTATAAAAATGAATATCGTCGGGGTTTATTAGCTTTCATCGTCGTCTCGATAATATTCCACGACGCCCGATACGCCGTACGCCGTTATGTATTCCTGAGCGATGCATTTTATTTTTCAGCCCCTCGCGCGCCCTAGAACTCGAGCCAGGCGCTCCAATGGCATCAGGTCCCTCGAGCTTTCTCAACGAGCTACGTTCTTGGATGCAACCCGCATTCTAATGCCCCAAGGACACGCCTTCCGTTCATTTACGCTGTTACAAGAAAACGGATGACATTATCTTCAATCGCCAGGAAATTAAAGTACCAGACGTTTCAAGTTCAACAAGGTTCACCCTTCTGCGAGGTAATAAAGCAGAGTTTTTCTCGTAAACAATTTTTGCGGAGTTCAAAGGAAGACGCACCCTTGGAGAACGGCTTCCTCGCGTGAACCATCGATGCATCGACGTAGGTTTAAGACGCGTCGTTGTCTTATAGCCCGCGTGTACATGTATGAATGTGTAGGTGTGAGTAATTGTCAGGGAGGGTGTAGTTACAAGCGATCGATACGCACGAAACTACGACGTCTGGCTACATAGTTATTCGGACTTTGTCTAAGGCTAACCAAGTGCGGCGACGAAAGATCGTACGAACAGTAAAACTATGCTATACGACTCGTCTAAGTCACTCTCTAACTCTCAGCGAGCATCGAACTTTGTTTCTCGTTTTGCTAAACCGTGTTTGAACGTTTGCTTTCGCGATAAGATTCGGGCAAAGTCTCCTTGTCGAAATAAAAATTTCGAGTACGAAACGAAAGACAAAAGTTTCACGTCTATCGAGGTAACTCGAGTTAATTTTATTTCAAGGTTTCGTCGCGAGACGATGTCAGCTCGCATCGTTGCTTGTAACCGAGACGCGGCAGCGAAACGTGTCACTCGATCGGATCGAACGTCCAAGAGTTTTCTCGGGGAAAAATCAATGGACGCCCAGCGAGAAAAAGTTCACGGGTCGTGTACCGCGAGATAAACGCGCCCGACGAGATAAACGGTTCGACGAATCAACGAAAAAAAACGTGACCGATTAAAGAACAGACGCATTGTCTCGCGGTTTCGGACGAGCGACATAGCCGACGAACCGAGTCGAGACTGGCTCGAGAGTCTTTCGGACACCGAAATTGCGACCCGATTTATTCGATCGACCGTGTCGGAGCGATTCAGGCCGAAATAGAAAACCCTGCGAGCAGAGATGAGCAAAACGATTACTCGAATACGAGACAAAGGATGGACAACCTTTTATTCGTCGCTGGCGGAATAAAAAGTAGAATCTTAATTATACGACAGAACGACGTTACGTACGCTTTTGCCCATCTCTGGCTGCGAGTAGACCGAACAGAGAAGCGCCATGTTTCGTTTTGCAGCAATTATGGGATTCGAGGAGGCTAAAGAACGCGTTTCTCTTAATTTTCCGAGTTCTCGATGGAAGGAAAATGGTCCTAGCTTATAGGAACTTCCTTCCCTCTCTCTTCGATGTTATTTCTCGAAGAGATTCACGGAACTGCCCTTTTTTTCTTTCCCTTTCCTTTCCTTTCTCTCGTGTTAATATAGCGAACACACCACTGCAACGCTCAGCCGGCACAAGCATGCAATTGTCAAACAATCCTCTACTATCAGTATTAACCACGAAGCCTGCGTGAGTTTTTCTGCGTGTGTTCTGAACGTTTGCCGACTGCTCCTGTCGTGTCGTGTCCGTGTGTCGGTGTCGTTGTCTCGGACAGCGTTGGGCAAAATGTAATCCACGATTATGATTACCGAGCGATTTATTATCGTATTAACGTATAACGAATAATAATAATAACGAATAACGTGTACGATTACCTTTGAACGATTACACGATATACAAATATAATTTACGATCGCAGATTTATTCTCCAGCTGCGAGTAATTATTACGAAAGCAATCGCAAAGTAATCACTGCCCAACTCTGGTCTCGGAGCGCACGTACAGGATCGAGTATCTGTTGCCGTCCGAAATGCCTCGTTTCCTTTTCGCGGGAAAGTATCTTTATTTTATTTATTTATTTATTTATTTATATATTTATTTATTTATTTATTTATTTATTTATGTACGATATGAGAGCATGTCCTACGGTATAAATACGCGAGGAAGTACGATGTAGGTAAAGTCCAATCGGTAAAAAATTGTCATCATTAAATCTAAACAAGTTCGTCTAAAAAGCCACTAAAAGATATCCTCCCCGAGACATCGCGCTCGACAATAGTCACCGTTCCGATCAGCGTGACGTATCACGAGCGTCGCTTCGCTCTACGTATCACTGAGTTCGTGTGTCTGATAGTTCAGTCTTCCAGCTATAATAGAGTCTCGAGCAGCGAAGTAAAGGCAAACAGAAAAATAGGGAGACAGCGAGAGATAAAAGAAGGAAGAGACTGTGAGAGACGAGAAAAGAGAGGCAAAGAAAGTCGTAGATATCCAGACAAAGGAGAAATAAACGAAGATACGCGAAAGCCAAGATTGAAAGACCGAGGGCACAGTGCGCCTTGCGAAAAGCCGATTTGCAGAATCATTTTCTCCGAAATATCGCGTACGTATGCGCGTACGAAACCTTTGCGAGGTTGCAGGGCACTAGCGTCGCTAGAGATCGTTGCTAATTTTCTCCGCATCCACCTTGCGCACACCCGGCGTTTGAATTTTGACCATTTTCCCTTTGTGGACGCTGGGGTCCTGTGACGTCGCAGAGGTCTCACGCTCTTCGGCAGTGATGGGCAAAACCCTAGGCTTCGAATAAATTTGAAGTTTGCCGGTGTGTTTGTGTCGGTTCCTTCTTTCTAAAATGTTGAAAAGAGGAAACGAGACAAACATATCGGCAAACTTCAGATTTATTCGAAGCCTACGGTTTTGCCCATCTTTGCTCTTCAGTGTACGTATGCAAGGATGATGTTCACTTTGTCTCTGTCTACTTTGAGCTACCGTCTCATCTCCCCCCGGTCGCTCGTCTACTATGTACGTGAATGCTCGCACACTACTTGATGTATGTATCGGCATGCCGTAGCCATAGCATAATAACGTATTTTGCTCGAAACGAAAAGATAGAAAGTGAAAGAGATCGGCTTCCATTACGATCGGTCTCTCCTATACTACCATGATAGACCCTCGTAGCGTGGGATGCCTTTTTATACTATGCGAAAGAAAAGAATCCCCATTAATGGTAACGCAAGAAAAAAACCGTGCGTTTTATGTAAGAAAAGCTTTACAAACGTCGTGTACGCGAGGAAAAATAGAAGAATTCGTCGCGCTATGATTGTTTCCACCGTCGTTTCGTACTACCGAACGCAGTATTAGGGACCACGGACGCAACGAAATATTTGCACGCATCCTGTACGTTAGAACATATTAGGACGATCTTCTGTTGTATTAGCTGAGACGATGTTCTCAGATTTAATAGGGCAAAATCGCGCGCGAAGTAAGCTCGTATCTTCTGTGATAATTAGACTGCGGATCTTTATGCGAAATAAAATCTTCGCGAACGTGCCTACAAAAATTGAACTTAAATAGGAATTTATTTTATTCCGGAAACATTGTAACATGAACTTTACTTTCAATCTTTTTTAATATTCCTGCATATTGTTTGCATTTTGTAGGTTCTTGGACATTCAAATTTCCTATAAATGCGTAAAGATCCGCAGTCTAGTGACAACAATTCCATCGATGCCTGTAATTCCTCTTCGTCGTGTCCGTGGCGCCTGTATATATGAATATGAAAAAAATCCTCCACGCTGGGAGCGTCGTTTGACGACGAGCAAACGTTTTCTTTCCCAAAGTGAAACGGTGGGTCGCGTCTCGTGCCCCCACGGGACAGCCTTTACGCCGAACGATCACACGCTAGTGTTGATCTAAAAGTTATTAAAACCAGACCGGATTAAAGTAAAGCCAAACTCTAAGCTACGTAAACGAAGGGATAGAGCGGGCAAGCTCGTTTATTAGACGGCGTACAGCGCGTTAGACGTTCAAACCGTAAGCCATCGGTGGGATCCAAGCTCGTTCGAAGGAGCCGGCGTAAAAGCGTCGCGGACGGGGGCTCGACTCGGTTGGATGGTACACGTATCGGTGGCAGAAAAGACAAACAGAAAAATAAAACAAACGTTCAAAGGGAAAGAAGAAACCAAGAGTGGTCCCAGTGAGAGGTTTCGGGGAGAGAGTGTCGAGACAAGAAACCCAATGATTAAGTTACACGTAACACAGCTTGTTTCACAGGGAAGATACCCAGAGGTGCATTGGTCGGAAAAAAACAACGTCTGCCTCGTGCCCGCATCTCTCGACGATTATTTCAGCGAAACCATTGGTCATGAGCGGGAGGCACGCGATGATCAAAACTTGTTTTTCAGGACCGCTCTCGAGATAATTAACTATTACTCTTGCTTCTATTACGACAGAAACCAATCTTATAGATAGTAGGTAAATAAGCATAGTTTAAAGTTTCGTCTAAATCATTCCGCTGTAACACGTTAATCTTTACGAACCGATGAATAATCGTCGAGATCGCTGTCGGGACGTCGAGCAAAGGCGTACCGAGGTGGTAGAGACGAATTTGGTAGTTGTGAGATAAATTTGGTGATGGGTGAAATTATTTTGGCGTTGCGTTAAACTGTATGTGAGCGGTAATGAATGAACGAGATATGACGATACATATCGGATCGTAAAGAAAGGGCTGACGGGTGACGACAGATTGTGGGGCTGAGGGTTGGGGGGGGGGGTGGTTTCAGGGGTTTTGGTTGTATAATATTATGCCACTCTAGTGTACTACGAGAGGTTCAGAAGGAATGTCTCAGGACCGTTTTAGTGTGCGGGGCCTGGCGATCCTACCTTGAACAGTTGTACGCCAATGACGGCGAACACGAACTGCAGGAGGCTGGTGACGAGGACTATGTTTCCGATAGTCTTTACCGCTACGATGACGCACTGTACTACGTGCTGGGTTCAACATTAATCACAATGTAGATCCGTTCCAATGGAAACGGGATTAACGTGTGCCGACTAATTAATCACGTCGGTTACCTCTCGTTTCTCTGATCGTTTTCTTACTTTGTTTAGATTATTTTCTCTGCTTTAAGGGGCTATGTATGGTCAAACAGTCGGAACAAGCCTGGATTTTATGAATTATTTTCACCTCCCTTCAACTAGCGAAAAGCATAACACCTTCCAAGCAATTGTCAAAATTATACTTTCAACTAGTTTCAAAGGATTTTTATAAAACCGAACAAAAATTCATAGAAGCTAGCCTTGTCTTTTACTGTCCCACTGTGTATAACCCTTCAACTCGGTTACTTTCGTGTCAGCTATACTTTGCGAGTCGCGCGGGAAATTATGCAAAGAATTATTCTTCGAAACGGCTGCAGACAATCTACTGGAAAAAGTTCAACAAAATTCTGCTAGCCTTCAGATATGTTTACTCGAACGTTACACGTATCGATCTGAACCGAAACGTTATATAGGCATTTACTGTGGGCCGAAGCGTTGTTTACGCGTTATCTATTATACAGGGCGTGTGCTACGTCGTGGGACCGATTTAGCGAAATTTGCCGATCGTGTGGATAAATATGCGAAGAAAGATACCTTTAATCCCTTGGCACGATTGATGGCGCGTAGAGGCCTCAAGACACGCAACACACGGAGAACCTTCACAACGGAGAACGCGCCCGAGCTGAAAACGCGCGAAACATTGATTAATTTCGGTTAGTTTTAGGTAGCCCTTGTGCACAAATTGTTACACTCACTCACCTGAAAGACATCGAAATGAGAGAAGAGCACACGACCAACAGGTCGAGCAGGTTAAACGCCGATCGGCAGAACGCGCCATCGTGTATGATAAAACCGTAAGAAATCATCTTCAAGCAGATCTCGATAGTAAACACTGTGGTGAAAAAATAGTCGAAATTCGCTAATATCTGCAGCAGAGAAAAATGAAGGAGATTGTCAATTACAGTCGAAGACTCTTGGACCTTGTTGGAGAGCGACGAATCTATCTTCCGTACCTGATTTCTGTAAGAAGAAGCACTTAAAGGATCTTCGGCCGCCAACATAGCCGAGGATATCATGATGCACACGAGAATCACGTTGCTGAAGTAGCCGTGGTTGCAGAACCAATGGCAAAATACACGAATCCTAGACGAATAAAGTGATTAAAGGAGTAAACGCCGCATGCTTTCTTCTTTATTCTTTAAATGTTGCTACCTGTTCTAAGTTTCCTACCTGTTATTTTGCGAGAAAATAAAAAAGGCCGAACCCGCGGGAATCGGTTGAGTTTTCGTGGCCATATTAAACTCGGACATTCTTCGCGGCCTGGCCGACACTCCTTGATCCGTGCCATCGTCTGAATAAATTATATTCTTTAAAAAACACAGCACTCGTTGATGAAAATATTCAAAGAATAGCAGGAGGGTTACCGTGCATCTCGTTTTGTTCAGCCTCTTCCTCCTCTTCGACTTCCTCGTCCGACTCCACGTTCAGCCGTACTTTCGCATGAGTGTTCATGTCTTCGCTCTTCTCCGACCTGCGAAAGCAACATTTTTCACATTTTTCGGCACATATTTCGACCACCTGCTGAGAAATTTTCAAGCCTTGGGCAGGCACAAACGTGGTCAGCACTCACGTTTCCGTGTCCAGAGCCGCCTCGTAGTCCTCCATCGTTTCGTTAGGGTCTTGTTCAAGGTCGGTGGTTCCACCCTCGTCCTCCGCACCGGTCCCTTCGCCGCCATCGCCGTGTTCACCACTGATTTCGTCCCTGGCTGGCGAGGCGCTGTGAGATTTGTTCTTTTCCGCCTGAATAACATCGTGTAAAGGCAAGTCTGTATATATTAGCTCGATAAGCATATATGTAGTATCCGCGCCTCCCTTTCCCAAGAATAAGGAGTCAAACGAGAAAACGGAACGTGGGGTACGAGATTGATGGTGTAGGGATAAAACTGTGGATCCGAGGGTTGTGGTTTCGAATCTCCGTGCCTTATTTTTCGTTTAGATTCCTACGTATAATCACAGAACAATGGTTTAAATATCGGGTATTCGAAAAAGTTCGGGGTGTTTTTCAACCATTTTCATGATTCCATCGCATCGTTCGTATTTGCATTTGCATTTTGTCCGTAAAAAACACAAATTTTTTTCACGAGCCAGCGTAGCATTCTCGTCTCGATCGAGCGACAAAACGCCCCGAACTATTTCGAATACCCATTACATATTCAATGGTTCGATCTTCTTTACACTTTAGGTGCTCTTAAACTTACAGCTTCGACTCTATAAAAACATCTCCAAGCGAACTATTCTAAAAATTAAATTTCTAAAAAATTAAATTGGAGACCAAGGAAATATCAGAGATTTAAAATCGTGCGTGTCTCGATCTCTTCAATTACAGAAGCGAAAATGTATACATTTTGTCGAGTTTCCTGTGGAACGGCGTGAGTCAAAACGGACCCAGTCCTTAGATGCACGGTTAAATTTCACACTGCGAGGCGTCGAAGCGAACCCTCGACGGGTTAACGCTCGAGAGCTAACGATTTTTCATTAGCTTATCAACGAATCACGAACGATTAAACTTTTAACGTTAAGCTACGCGACAACGCGAACGATACCGTCATTGGATCGACGTCCATCGTTCAACCACGGCCTCTTTCCTTCACCCCAAGCCGCGAGATTCGCGCTCGAGCTGCCACGCATATTTATAGTCGGTCCGTTACGAAACATTACGACAGAAAAATAAGAGAAAAAATGGAAAACAACGGACGGAAGGAAGGGGAGGGCGGGTGGAGAAGGGTGGAAAGCTAACATCGACGCGACGGATGGTTCTCAATAAAAGCTTTACTTCTCGAGTATCGGTAGTCGATTACAACGGCCTCGATTTCGCGTGCGTGCTTTGTAGTTCCATAGCCACTTCGGGCATCGATGCGCACCGATTAAAGGAGATGACACAGTTTTCGACCGACGCTTGTTCAATGGATATCAATCCCGAGATACAAGCGCGTTCGAAACTATCAGACGCGTGTGGTACGTGTGGATACACGAAGCGGACCGCAACACGCAAAAATCGATCGTTTTGGCACCGGGATATCGAGAACTTTGGTGATACTGCAAATATATTGGAATTCATGCAAGATTGGGGAGAGTTTAAGTCGTCGTTAAAAAAGAAAAACCGCCTCTGCGAATCGATGTTTAACTCGGGACCTGTTACAGATTAGAATTTTTTGTTTTCGTACACGAAGACTTTCATAGCCATGTTTTATTATAGATACGATACGGTTAGAATGGCACAATTATATAAAATATAATTTTTTAACGAAAGCTGGCAGACTAATTTTAGTTATTCCCTCTATCGAAAGTATCAACATTTTGTTCTATGCGGTACAGTCTTTGCAGCGACTGTATTCCGCGATATCAAAGTGCACGTTCGTGTGCAATCACTCGGTCCTCGGTTCCATCGTGATTAGAAGCGTACTCTGTATATCCGACTCGTTAACCGACCGCTTTATTAAAACGGAGACGCGAGATAACCTCGCGTGCCTCCTTTATTAAACTCCCAAGCAAAGAGATTTGCACACAATTATGTCGCTCTTTAAGCCTCCGCGAACCGTCGAGGTCTCTAAGTCGCACTAGAAACGTCTGTAGCCTATCAACCCGCGGGAAATGAACAAACGAACCGACACCCAATACCGCTTCATCTCTGGAGATCGTCGAATGCTCGTTTCCATTGTTTCGAATTTCTCCTAGCACGAATTCAGATATTCTGACGCGATAGATTAAATTGAATAAATATTTCGATATTCATTCAATTTAATCTACTTGATAAGTCACGTCATTGCGTGCTTTGCGAAACGTTTTCTGTAGGAAGAATTGAAGCGGAACGTTGAAACGCTCGCGTCTAGATTAGGACTCCCGGGGTACCAGCGGGACGCACGTGGAATACCGATGTAAGAATTTTTCCGAGAAGTCTCTCGCGTAGAGTAACTCGATTGTGCCATCATATTTCATTTGGATTCTGAATACCAAAGAAACAACTTGAACGAGTCGGGTGGGTTTCTTTCTTTTGAATGGAAACGCTGTAAGATGGAAATAGTTGGCCACCTCGAGTACTATTATAACGGAACGTAGAGCTACTATTAACTTCTACAAGGACGAATTGAGGGGTGTGCTGCGATAAGACAGCTCCATTCTTTTATGGTTTCGAGAATAGAACGTAATCACGGATTTAAAAAATTCCTTTTTTTCGTGGTGTAACAAGGAGACAACTCTGATCACTAGAAAACTGGAAGAATGCATTTTGCATTAATTTTAGGACATTTTGTATTCTGCATTTTTTGTTTGTACTGCCAACCGGTTTAAGAATAAAATAAACACGTGTTTGAAAGAAAGTTTCGTTCTCTTCGTTCGAGAAATCCCTTCAATTTCATTAATCCTCGTTAATCCTCCGTCCACCTCTCTGAAAAGGAAGAATGGAATCCGAAACAACATAATTTCATAATTAGCTACCTGTACTATGATATGAAAAAGAAAAAGAAAGAAAATTTTAAAACGTTTTTCTTTTTAATTTCCTCAAAATTTGAAAACGTAGAGCTGCTTTCTTATCGATGTACACCTCCTAGTTGTTTCATTTCGAATAGACAAACAATGCTAATTATATCGATCCACGCTGATATTATCTCGCTATATTATATATTAATTTCATAACGAATAATAAAGCATCGTTTCAAGTTATATTGATCGCGATTTTTTTCGCAAAAGAACCCAGTTTCTGATGGCAGGGAGTTACGGTAGGTCGTATCCACGGAGAACTAATACCTCGATCATAGGCTCGCGGATGGCCTAGATTCGCGCGGGTAATTACGAGGACGCGTCAAATATTTGTAAGATTCAAACTCGAGGCAACCGTAACGTGCAATAAAGTGCCGGTCGAGCGACGTCGTAGTCGGCGTCAGAGTTGGCGTCGGCGTCGGCGACGGTCATTACGAGCGACGGCAAACGAGACCCCCTATCCGATGCTCTTTGAGGGAACGATAAAACGACCGACATTCTAATTTTCCTCGCTCTCGACTAAGTAAACGCGACGGCGAAATGTTTATTGAAGCGAATTTGTATCCGCGAGCCAAGCTTTTCGTCGATCGTTTCGCCGCGTTCGACGAGAGATCGTACAGGTAACGGAGCAATCTCGCGCAAAACAATTGGTACAGACTCACCTCCTCCTCGGCTTCCTTTTCGATGGCGGTTAACGACTCGGCGTCCGCAAGGTTGTCCACAGCGATAGCCAAGAAGACGTTCAGTAGAATGTCTGCGTTACTTCTTCCGTCAAGGATCATTTACCGTGAACGCCGTGGATCGAGGACACTTTGACGCGCGCCAACTGAATCTATTTGAATTCGTTCTCCGGGCCGGGAGTAGCCGCGACGATAAAAATCACGAAACCGTTCGACACGAAAGATATTAGCTCACTTCGCGACGATCCCGTATCGCGATGAGCTCGTATTGATCGCGCGCGTCGTTGAAAAGGATACAGTTACCGCATATGAAGAGAATGATGAAGTAGAAACAGGCGAGCATGCCGAAGCTCGCTACGCCGCCGTAGGCTCTAATTCCATCGTACATCACGGCGTTCCAATCCTCGCCTGTCAATATCTACGAATCGAAGAGAAACCGTGATGCTTCCACGTTAATACATTTACTCGAATATCGACAACACTTTCAACGCGGAACAGCGGCACGCTCTGATACAAGCTGCCGTTTAATTGTCTTTATTAAACGTTCTGACCTCGCGTATGTGTCTTTTCAGCTAAACAATGGAACAAACAAAAGGACAAAGAAGAAAACTACTAGAAACATCACCATCGTTCGTACCAGATTACACCGTTGTTCTAAATTGTATCATCTTTCCAGTATCGAGGATACTTACCTGAAAGACGGTCAACAAGCTCTGCCAGAAACTGTCGAAATTGCGACGAGGTTTGTCTTGTAATTCGGTAAAATTGAACTTTCCGCCAAACACCTGCGACAGATAATCACCATGAAACGCCGAGCTATCGTCGAAAGTACCGTCGTTGATCGAAGAGAACGGTGAATCGTACCTGCATGCCTAGGAGGGCAAAGATCACGATAAACAGGAAGAGCAGAAGCAACAGGGACGCGATCGATTGTATGGAATTCAACAGGGAAGCCACCAAATTCGACAGCGACCTCCAATATCTAAAAACCAGCGCGTCGTTAACGTCGCGTTAACTTTACGTTGTTTCTTCTCGTTGTAAAGCGGAACTCACTTCGTCACTTTGAATACCCTGAGCAACCGGACGCAACGCAGCACGGAAACGCCGAGCGGTGGCATCACGTGCGTGTTGGTGAGGATCATTTCGGTGATCGAGCCGATCACGACGAAACAATCGAAACGATTGAACAACGAGACGAAGTAACCCTGGGCAATGCCAAACGGCGACGATTTAAATCGATGTTTTTTTTTTTATTGTAACTTTCTACAACACCCGACTTACTTGAAATCCTAAACTGTACATCTTCAGCATCATCTCCATCGAGAACAGCGCGATGAAAAACATGTTCGTGATCTCTGCGCGGGGAAGAAGACGAAATGAATTACAAATCGATTTACGGACCATTAATAATTCGTTACTTAAATTGACAATGCGCCATCCGGATAATAAGTTGTATCGTTTCGATAAATAATTAGCAGACTCGTCGATAATGTTTTCGGGTTGTACCTTGAAAGTCGTCCAACCACGTCGGCTGATTGTAATGCTCGGTCGCCAGAACGCCGGTGTTCAGGAAAACCAGTACTATGATCAGCCAATAAAAAACCTGCGACTTGACGGCTTTTCTGCAGGCCCTTCTCATTCTCCTGTTCACCCTGCGAATTTCCATTGCAAAATCGCACGATTAAAGACGCGCGGTAGCGAGGACTCGATTCAAATTTCAGACCAACAGCCTTTTTTTCCATCGATATCTTACCCGATATAACTAATCAATATGCAACGTTTTACCTCTTCGCGACGAGCCGTCTCGTAACGAACCGCGCTTATTCCTCGCAACCGTTGATCCGGTTCGTTCACGGAACAATAATGACGAACGAACGCGTTCGTTATCTCGACGTTCTTACCTGTCGAAGTCTCGCTTTTTCCGCCTCCACACGGACTCCTGTTGCACCCCCTCCTCGTCCCCCTCTAATTGATCCGTGCTCTCCATTTCGCTCTGCTGCTTCGCTGGAAAAATCATTTCGTCCGACTTCGTTGCAAGCGCACATCTTTTTATCTCATTTATTTATTTAAAGACGCTTAAGGTTTCTCGAGTCTTTCGATTTTTTTATTTTTCTTAAGCGTTTAGTTATTCCGGTATACCAAACGACCTTCGTCGTCTTTCTCTTAGACCCTTCGCGTGGAACGAAGTATCCAAGGGCGATCGAAAAGTAATCAAAATACCTTCGACTTGGAAAAATGTTCTTAATTAAAAAGTCGAAGGACTTTTTCAAAAAGGGAATCGAACAACTTTACGCCGGAAAAAAAGTGATAGAAAATGATGGAAGTTATTTTGTTGATCGAATTTTGATTACTTTTCGGTCCCCCTAATCCTCCGCTTTATCTTTTCGTAAAGAATATACTGCAACTATTATAGCGTTGGGGACACTTACTATTCCCGTCCTGCATCTTGGGCTCGTCCGTCTCCGGCTCGATGTCCTCAGCCTGCGTGATCCAGTCCAGGTATCCCCTGAGATCGTCCTCGATCTGCTGCTTCTCCCTGAGCTTGTGGAAGTCGCCTCGCGCCTTCGCCTTTTCTCTCTCCTTCGAGAACTCTCTGACGAAAGATAATGTACACGATTGCGGACGTGATTAGAAGGCCTCGGTGTCGAGCGTAATTAGAACGTTCGCGGATGAAACGGAAATCGGACATGCAGCCTCGGATCGCGCCTCCGACTCCCTCGCGGGTACAAAATACGGCCAAGTTTGCGCAAAGCGGAACAAGACTTGCACTTCCGTGTCACGCGACGCGAGCCAAACCCGCCAACTTCGCTGGAAACTTTCTGTCCTATATTCCCTTTGGCCGCGTTCATCGATTGCTCTTTACTTCCGAGCGCGTTGAACTCACGCTCGACGATTGTCTTACCCAGGATCTCTCGGGATCAACAGTCATCCAGACCACTTGGCTTTCGTAGGTCGGCATTTTATAAAATAAAAGTGTAGTCGCGCGCGCTCTCCGGTATACAGGAATATTGAGTCGAACAAGATCAGTAATGGTAGGGTGCGGTGATGGTCGATCGTGAGTCTGGGGATCGTGGTCCCATGGAATCCTCCGAGCCTTATTTTGAATATAAAATAAAACTGTAGTCTCACGTTCTTCGGTATACAAGAACATCGAGTTGAACAAGAAGACTAATGGTAGGGTGCGGTGATGGTTGATCGTGAGTCGGTGGATCGTGGCCCCACGGAATCCTCCGCGCCTTATTTTCGTTTAGACCCCTACGGAACTACAACTACCCCTACGCAAGTACAATAAAGTTTCGATATAGCAGACTAAGAGGGGAAAGTAACAATCATGACGTAAATCAGACGTTAGATAACGACGGATTGGCTCCGTTCCGTCTCCGTTGTCGCTACGCGGTGGCGATGGCGTATATCAGAAGGTAAACTAGGAGGTATTTATATTTAGAGATCTCCTGGGGGACCACGCGACGCTATAGGAACCGATATTGTCGAATAACGACTCCGAGGAAGAGAAAAACAAACCACTCTATCAGGGATGGACGTGTTTTTAATCCTAACCGAGGCGTATTCTCCTCGAGGTTGACTTCGCATCGATATCTAAGATGGCATGTCGCGCATACCTAAGCAAAATAATTATTAGGTTGGCCCAACAGTTTCTTTCGTGAGTTGCGCTTAATTATTTTGTGTGACTGTGATTATCTAAATAGACAATCTAATTTCATAGATATCGATGTTGCAACAGTAACGGAGCAAAATGAATCTTGTACAATTCAGCAATGTGGCGTAAAACATAAAATAAAACTTTTGGGACAACGTAATGTTTTAACTTCACCCATGTATGGGTGAGAGGACTCTTCGCTAAGAAATCAAATAAATTAATTCTAAAGAGATGTTAAACAAAATAAATCTACAGGAGGATTCATGAATTTGGGGAAATTACAAAAATAAGTACTAGTTCGAATTCAACCAAAGTAAGTTCCAGTAATATAGAAACAAAGTGTTAGACTGATATAAATTTTCACGAGTAATATGGCAGTCAACGTGTCAACGATAAATAAATTTTGTGTAATAGAGTTACTCTTGTTGAAAATTTTGGACGATACAAGGAGCTTTGCACGATCCGCAATTAGTTAATAGCTGAAAGGATCGTCTCCCAAAGATCGATTCTAACTTTCGAATTTACTCGATCACTTTTGAATCGTCGATAACGAAGGTGCAAACTCTTGGCAGACGAAACGTCTCTTCGCCGATCATTTTCCTGACTTTCTCCTTCCTTGGTAAGGAATTTCATTACCGAGTTTGAGTTCTGCTAACTTTCCTGAATCGCGGATAGAGCTTCAACTTCGTCGCAGGGATACTTATCGATCGTAATATAATGATATTTGATGTATGGACTCTTAACGAGCGCTATTATTAACCGTTTTGTACCAGGCGGTTGTATTGATACTGTTTCATTGAACTTTTCTCGTGAATGTGACGCGTCTCTTTAAACGTGTTTCATGTACGAGACGTACTCACCCGGACAACACACCGAGAATCAGGTTCATCACGAAGAATGCTCCGAGTATCACCATGGAGATGAAGTAAATCCACTGCCACGAGCTGCCCATCGCGTCCTCGATCTGAAGGGGAGAAGTTTAAAAAAAAAAACGTCGAATATATTAGATCATTTATGAGCCTGAAGAAAGCACAAAGACTTAATAACGTTCAAGCATCTCGATTTCGTCTAGGGAAGCGAGCTCGAGACACTTATGAAACTTTTAAGGAGGATATTTGGTAATAACGGATATTACGTGACCGTCCGATAATTCCTTTTTCGTGAAACGTATACATATATTAGGTTGTTCAGAAAGTTCGTGCCACTGTTTAAGAAAAATTCAAAGGCACGTTTGAATTTTAATATAGATTTATTGAATTACATAGGTACCATTTCACATGTTATTTGTTTTCAACTTTCCTGATATATTTAGACCTGTACCACCTACCAAAAATCGGCACGGGCTGTCCAAACAACCCGGTGAAACGTTCCAAGGAGGAAATCAACTTAGCAGTCCATAAAACGAAATTGATCTTACGTCGTAGAGCACGTCCGTCCAACCTTCGAGCGTCACGCACTGGAAGACCGTCAACATGGCCAGGCCAAAGTTGTCGAAATTCGTGATACCCCAATTCGGACCCTCCCAGAACTGCTTGCTGCAATGGTATTCGTCCCCCAAGATGCTGCACGTATAGCCTTCGGGCCCACACGGTGTTGGGTCGTCCATTAGGGCGTCTGCGAATTCATTGCATTCGAAACCACTGGCTTAGATCGCATGATCTTCATCTAAAGTCGGCGACCGACTTGCAATAGAACATTGTAATGTAACGCGAGCATTCGTTTATTTTAGCGAACTAGCGAGCGACGAACCGAGCCGTTCTTGCGCTCGGTTTGCGCTCGATCGTGCTCCACTGGTCTGTCGGTTTTTTCACGAACCTTTTTGATCGTCTACTTTTCACTGAACTGAGTAGAAAGCACTGAGAGAGAATTCAGCCGAGAGTTCGAAGCGAGCATTCGTGATTCCAAAAACGACCTTGTAATGTAACGTTGGTGTCGAACCGTACGATTCGTGCCGAGCAGTTACATTACAGCGTTCTGTTGCAAGTCAGTCGCCGGCTTAACACGTCGATCCCCATATATGGGTGACAGGCATTTTCGCTAAAGAATTAAAAGTAAAGATCGGGAAGGTCTAACGTCGAAGAAAACAGTAGATACGGTCTGGATAGGGTTCGTGAATTTTGAAAAATAAATACTATGTTAAATTACATAGTTTCTAATTACATAAGAACAAAATTTTAGCTTCGTTTATTTTAAATGGGTTGCTGTACGAATACTTCTTACACGGACTGTATATCTGGCAGCCAAAGTGTTAAAATAAAATTGAATTCAACGAACAATGGAAAGCCCATCGAGTGTGGTGGCCCCTTCTTTGGTTCGATCCCCCAAATCGCACCCTGTTTCTGTCCCCCACGGCGTTATAACGCGTCATTCCTAAAACCTACAATTCATTTATAAATCGTTGTCGAAACTCTGTCAGGTGGCCGATCAGGCGCTAATATCGTAGTTACGCGAATTAGCGACCCCTCGTGAATCAGCTGTTTACCACTGGGGACACGCGCTAGTCGGCCACGCAGCTCGCGTTCCGCGCGCTAAGAATAATTAGACGTTAGTTGTCGCCGCGGCTGAATCATATCTAAAATAGCGCCGGTTTGAAAGTGTGTTTCGGGGTTAACCTGGGAACTCCCTCAGCGTCCGTTGCCAACTTCTCTTCGATATTTCATTTCTCAAGGAACCCATCCCGGAGCCGGTACCGATCGATGGACCGTCGCAGGACTCTTACGTAATTTCGATCCGTTTTCCAACGTTTCGAGAGGAAATTCGCCGCGGCAGAGTATCCGATCGAATGTGTGATTAACCGTACGGGTAACCAATTGTACGATTAGCACCCGACCGTACGTATGATACCGTGAACCGATTAAACGCAGTTAACTGGAGATTATAGAGGATCCTCGAGCACTGATCGGTTAATCGCTTAATACCCTACTGCCCGCGGCTATTCGATTTTCAAGACCTCCGACGGGCCACGATACCTACGGCGATGTTTATGCACGTTTCGGGAGAGCAAACTGCGGTTAAATTGAACAGAAAGAACGTACGTGACGTCTTTCAGTTCTTGAGAGAGTGAAAAGGTATTCTGTTTTGCTAATACCGAGTGGAACAATCTGTGAAAAATCGGTGTCTTCGATTAAAGGTTTTTAAAAGGCGACCCAGTTTTATACTAGCTACTTGTTGATAACTTGTAATTTATCCTGGCGTAGTTTGCACTGATTTAATTAATACGTTATTTGCCACACATCATTTGATATTCAAATTTCCAATACGTGATTTCCGGCGTATATATTCATTAATTATCCATATTTCGTAAATAATTTGCCCCAAAATGCTCATATTTACGAATTTCGGTTCTTGATTGTAGCGTCTACGGCACCTGTAATACCGCGAAAATCTCTCGAGAATGTTCACACTTACCGGTGACACTGTGCCGGCACGTTTTATGCATTTTCCCAGAGAACAGCTCGAGGCCGATGATAGCGTAAATAATGATGACGAACAGAACCAACAGAGCGATATGTAGAAGAGGTATCATCGCTCTCAAAATAGAGTTTAGGACCACTTGAAGACCTGAAACACGTCGAAGAAGACCGTTAATTGTCACCTCATGGAAGACCGTGTAGGGGAAGCTTGCCTCCTTTGGACCATGTTAATAAACGAGCAGACATTTTCTATGTAAAAAATTAATATCGGGGTCTAAACTAAGCAATCGCTCTCACAGATTGCTGTTAGAATTTGCTTAAACTGCTTGTTGTTATTGTATGATAAATACAGAGAGACAAGGTTGCCGAATAAAATGTGGATCAAGTCTAGGCAATCTTCTTCTCGAAAAAGGATACGCGAAGGACTACCAGCAGCGTCCTGGTATCCTTGCGCGGATCCGATGTCAGAGTTATCGCTTTGATATGGAAATCCCCTTACTTGGTACTCCGGAGACCAGCCTGAGAGGTCGTAGTACTCGAAAAGCTCTTAACGCTTTCACATCGAAGCCTTCTTTCATGAGCATCGTCAACACCGTGCTCACCATGCTGGAAAAAGGAGATATGGAAATTAAACGATCCGTCCTGTGATCGAGAACGCTCATTTCGTCCATTCGATCGTCTCCGCAGGAAGACCCGAAGGATTCGTATACGACCCCATAAGGTTCTCGTGTGCTCGAAAAAGAAAACCTTTTCGTCCGATAAACTTTTAACTAGAGATACAAATATCGAAACATTGCACGAAGCTAATCAAAGGAAATATTATAGACACGGAATACTAGAAAATCTGATTTTAGAACGTTTGGCCGCAATTGCCTGAAAATTCGCAACGCGTACTCGGTAGGCGTTCGACGAAACACCGCGGCGGAGAACTCGAATCGAAATTGAAAGCACTCAGCCGCAGAGGCGCCAGAGCAAACGAAGGAAACCCTCTTGTTTCGCGAGGTAAGCAGAAAACTCGTTGAATCGAAGTGGAGCGCGCGAGAGGAAACAAAGAGGGTCGCGTGCCGATTCAATGTCATCGCGATATTGGATGATCCGGGTACGTTCTCGACTTATACACGCCAATAAAATGGCCCGATGAAATTCGAAAAGAGAATCCCGCCGGTGAAATCCGTGCGCCCCGAAGCTACCGTTATTGGTCTGAACGACTCTCATAATCGGCGATTTACGACGGCCACGTGTTTCCTCCCGACGGACCGATAAACTTATATACGAGCAGAAAAGCGCGCTAACGATAGTTTCGGGCCGGTTGATCCAGCCCCCACCCCTGTCCCTCCACGATTTGATCGTCAAAACGCGAACGGAGATCCAGCTTCCACGAATAACTGCGCTTTTCGGTTTTCGATCTTCGTCGATCGAAACTTTCACGACGCCGTTGTGGTCATGCTTTAGTACGGAGTGCTTACTACTCGCACAGATAAATATTCTTAGGCTCCAGGGAAGCGTGTTCTAGGGAACCTTGGACGGTTTCGCGATACCAAGAAATTGGTCGTTGTTGTGCTTGATAAATTGGAATAAATTATAAGTAAACGAGAGGATCGGCATTAACACGTCGATCGCCAGGTCATCTACATACAGGTGATTTCACCGAAGAACTAACAAAATTATTAGGGACACTGAAAATTAATCGAAATGTCTTCGACTTGGACGAGTTTTCCAATGAAAAATCGTAGGACTTTTTTAAAAAGGGAATCGAACAACTTTACGCTGGCGAAAAGTGTTAGAAAATGATGGAAATTATTTTGTTGATTGGTATTTAAGATTTCTTTAATAAATAAATGTTGATAAAATTTTGATTACTTTTCGGTCTCTCTAATAATTCTGAAAGTCAAATGTTAAAGAAAATAAAATGAAATTCTTGAATTTCGAGGGAGTTACAAAAATAAACAGGGTAATTTGATCGAAATTGTCAAGAGAATCGGTCTAGCGTCCAACGTGTTGAAGCAATGCATGCACAATATGTACCAAGTGTATATTAGATATATAAATTTATATTAGGTATATAAACTTTTAAGTAGGCTTATTAGACCAGCAACAGAGAAAGTTTTCACTGTGAAAGTCAGATGCGCTTGTACTCACCCTATAACTACTATCGTGAAATCTAGTATGTTCCACCCGTTCCGGAGATAAGCCCCGGGATGAGCCACGAAGCCGTAAGCGATGATCTTCATTACGCACTCGACCGTAAAAATCACAAGAAATATATACTCTATTTTTTCCTGAAACAGACAACACGTAGATCAGTGTTTTTCAACGAAGTGGTGACACGAAATTCTGCTCGTTAACCCTTAGAAGCCTGATTTTCCAAATTAAATCTAACAAAAGTATCGATGTATTTATCATTTGAACAATTTTGTTCGAAAGAACATCATGCAATGGTGACGTACACATAGCCAAATATTAAAAACAAACCAATTGCAAGTGTAAAATTCGATTTAAAATTCGATTTAAAATTCGATTTAAAATTCGATTTAAAATTCCGGTGTCAAATTTGAAACACAGGGCGTTTAAAGGTTAATGTTAAGAGCAGAGAGTATCCTTTTTGTGGTCGCGTTTAATAAAGTTCGGAACCAGTGACGTAGACGTTCTCCCTTTGACCTCGCAGCATCAAACGCTCAAGGGAACGGTCGAAGAGCCACGATCCTTCCGTTTAATCGAGCGCACGTTAAATTCGCCGTACGCGTCAAACTGTTGACACGCCCGAAAGTAAACGGTTCCCTCTGATTAAGCACGGAACGTCTAAGTGCAGGGACAATATTGTTAACCCTTTGCAGACGTACGCCGAGTCTCACGCGTCATCGCAGAGAGAGAGAGAGAGAGAGAATCGACGGGAGCTCGTGACAATTGCTGCACGTACCGATCCCTCTGCCATTATTACAAAAGCTCGCGGCGGTTTACATTCGAAGAACGAAATTATCACGTGAAATCCGTGTTCGCGGGTTACGGGTGAAATTGATTCGGAATTACGATATCGGAAGGTTATCCGATGTTAGCGGAAGCGGTCGAGTCGCTGAATTTTATTTCGCCAGGGGCATCGTTCACGTACAAGTCCGAAGGTATATCGAGAAACTTCGTCAGCCTCGGAAAAATCGACGGAAACTTTGGTATATTCCGCGTTTACGAATAGTGTTTTCGTTCCACTGGGGTATCAAAAGTTTTCACGAGCGCGGATTACATTTACATACGCGACACTCGCAGGAGTTAAATGCTCGAGTTGGAAGCATTTTGTCACGGTATTTGCGTTTCATCGAATTACGAGCGAAAACGTAGGTAATTATTCTGTGCTCGAAGTGGACGTGTCGTCGCCGGTAAATGATTGGAGTGATACGAAATGAAGGTAGGTAGAAGAAAATGGAGGTGTTAAGAACCCCGTTACATACACACTATACGTTAGAACCAAATTTATTATCAGAAGAAGGCTCCGTTAAAATAGATCCAAAACGTTCTCGACTTTTTGTATTTAATAAGTAAGAAGGAATGTCGGATATTTATTAAATCTATCCAGCCAAGTTTGTCCACCTACCAATTACACAATCACTCGCCACTGCTCGGAGCAACCAAAGCACAGCTGTGCACCTACAAATCGATAAGTCTAACGTGCATTAACTCGTAACTCGACGCCTGTTGCTCGATTGTTGCGTATCGAACAGTCTCTGTACTTCCACGGACACGGCAAAAACGAAGGAAACGATGCTAAAAGAGTAAACAGAAAAGAAAAAACAGGGCGAACCGAATGCTAGAGAAAATGCAAAGAAAAATATGAGGGGTGGACGAAGGTCGCGTCGCAGCGACGACGAGGAAATTCGAAGGCGATCGTAATACCATGAGCAGGAATAAAAGAGGAGCGAGAATGCTCTCGGGGCGTCCATTACGTTTAATATCCGAAATCGATCGATCACTGGTTCATCGGAATAGCCGATTGGCTCGGGCTCGTATTATATTACCCCGTGGCTTTGCTCTTGGCGATTTCTATCGCGCAAAGCAACATGACACTCCCCTGGGGCAATAGAACTATCACTCTGTTGCCATGCGGTACAATGGGACCTCAATCAGCGGAACACCGATACAATTCTCCAATAACGGAGAAAAGTTGAGAGGCAAGACAAGTTTCGACGCTGTATTTGCTTATAAATTTCAATATCTCAAAATAACTGTGTATCTACGTGATATTTGCTGATTTTATGCGTTTATGGCGTACAGTTATATGGAGAACATACAAAAAATATACGTAACGTTGAATATATTTTATAATTAATATATTGATATTGTTATTTCAATTTACGTAGAGGTGTACACACGCTTTGGTTACGTTCATTTATTATGTTAGTTCATGTTATAAATGCATAAAATCCGCAGTCTATTCGTAAACAACCACAAACAATGTGTGTTGAATATACAGTGAATGTATGTTGAATATATTTCCAAATTATTACAATAATATTCTCGTTTCACTTTCCACAAGTGCGCATAATATTCCAGACCTGTATTTGCGTTTTCCTTGTGAACGACGTCGCTGGATGTTCACGAACGTTATCAATATCCTGCTGCCTGACCTACCGAAGTCTCCAATCTTGCCAGAGACGATGTTTGTGCTTGTAAAATTTCCAATCATCGTACGGGAACATTGAAATCTTATTTAACTTTTGCTTAGCCTGCAAGTCTGGCAGAAATTGAGTGGCTGATCGAGTCCGTCCGTATCTACTGGAATGCTCTTGAACTGTTATACTACTTGCGCGCCGGTGTGGTTTATCAATGGCTGATCAAGAACGTCCATACTCACTTGCCTCATTCACGGTCTTCTTGACACACATCGGTGAACGAACGGAGTGTTCGCGAGGTAAACGATCCAACGGGAAGCCGACAAAGACGAAGACCCTTTCGTGAAACGACTTCGAAGGCGTTCTAACCTTTCGATTACGAAAGACGTGGCAGCCATTGCGTGCAAGTTTGATTTGAATTTTTCGGAGGAAGCGAAAAGATCGATGAGAGACCTTCGTAGAAGCCACGAGTACGGAACATTTTAATTAGAGCGTTTAGATATTTCTATAAGGAAAAATAATATCTGTCGATAGAGCCTACGCAAAAATAGTTCGAATTTGAAAATGAGGTCAAAAGGGACAGCCTGTAGGAGCCTCTTACGGTCTTTGTGGCTTAAACCTATTCCCGAAGCGACGACCACACATTACGATACACCGTGTATGTGCGAAACGGCTTGTGCAGAAGTTTCCGGTTTGACGCGACATAGACGAGTTTGCTCTATCGGCCGCGATAAGCCTTGGAAAAAGCCCACCCACTAATAAAGGATTTTATGCTTCGCCTCGAAGGCCAGATCTTGCCGTATCATCTCGAAAAAGCTTTTACCCATTTTCCAGAACACGGCCTCGCTACTTTCGATTCTATTCAAGCTCGAATTCACCAAGACCTTCGTTCAACGCTAGTTTCAACGATCCTCAAACGATTTCTTTCATCGGCGAAACGCTTATTTATTTTCCCCCTCCCGACGCCTTTCTTCAGCATTTCGAATGCCTTCACGAAAGGCTTGGGGTTCGGCGAACCCTCCAACGACAAAATTAAGAAATTTCTGAACGCTATTAGTTGCTGGTGGGCGTCGCGAATGCTTTGGTGAATAGTAACGTGATCAAGGTCCTTGTGCAGTAGCAAACAGACGGAAGAACTACTAACGAGGGAACTATTTAATCCGTACTCTTGCAAAGGAACGTTAAACTTGCAGATTTCTTCCCTCGTAAGACGTTCCTGTAAGACGTGGTACTTAATAAAAGCTCTACTTTTCTGTCTGACTGGTCTACTGGCTCATATATATGAATCATGTTTTCCAATAATAGTGGGCTACGGTGCAAAACCATGTCAGCAAGATTGAACAATTATTGAGGTTTCAGCTTGAATAAATTTCATGCCATCAACCCTGTCTCTTGGACAGTTTATTTACCGATAACTCGACCGGTGCGCGATGGTTCGATGAACGGGAACTGTTATTCCTATTATATTCTCTATTATTAGCCGAATCGAAATTTCCTAGCTGCCGAGTTCGTTGTTCGAACGGTGATTCGATCAACGAAACGGAAAACGTCTCGGGGTCGCGTCGATATCGCGTACGAATCATTAGTAAAATGACGCGAGAGGGCAAATTTCAAATTTTTCCATTAAGTTATCCTTCAATTTTAAGAAATTGGAATATTTTAGAAACACGTGGGAAGAATGAATGACTGATATCACGTGTCAATAAGTACCTGTTCATTCAACGAAAATGTGTTTTTAAACCATACTTGAAAACGACGTTTGTTCGTCCTTTTATTCCACTTTCGTTTACTTGCAAATACCACAGTTTAAAAATTATATAACGACTGTATGAAATTCGGATTTCTTCATTTATTTAATATCGCAGCCAAGGTTGGAAATCCTGCAGCGATGCACCAACGAGTATTTTGATTTTTATTAAAACTTTAATAGCTTCCCGTCATTCAAAGCGCTGATATTTCCATCGAAAAACTGAGCGCTCTAATTCGCAAATCGTTTTCGTTCAATTTCTTTTAATTACGAAAACTCGTTGGTAAAAATACATTGTTCAAAAGGGGACGATAAATTTCATCGCGGCGCCGCGGCAAAAATTAATGAACGAAAAAATTTGAAACACGAGGGGAATTTTTCTTTCAATGCATATTACGGCTTGGCCTGCTTTCGTTCCCTTCTAGAAACTCGACGTTTCTGCTTCGTGTTCCGTGGATTGATAATTAAATTTTTCTTTGTTGGTCTTTCGCGTAACGTAAAAATGCTACGATTAGAAAACAAACCAAACGCAGTTTTTCTACCTCTCGCAGCAGGTTCGTGGGACTGTTAACACACTCGCCACGTGGAACTGAATTCAGGTCGTAGAGAAACGAAAATAGAGCGCGATAAAAGAAATTCATCGTTGAATTCATTGGAGGTAATTACCTCGATAGGATCGATACTTACCAAATACTGGTTGGTCAGATTAGAATCGCCGAACGGGTACGGTGTGTAGACCGCCAGGGCGACGCAGTTTGCGAATATCGTCATGAGAATAAGCCACTCGAAAGGTCTGTAAAGTTGCGTCGATGAAAGGTCTAGCTAAGGAAAATAAAAATAACGGCAATCCACCCTCGACGATTCGTCGAGCCGCGAAAGCTGGGGAAACTTTTGTTCGACGTTTTTTCCGATTTCCGTCGGGAACCGTGGACCCCACTGCGCATTTCCCAGGACTCTGAAAGCTCTTAAACATAAACAGAGCTTGCAAAGCGTAAAAAGCTTTCCCTTTGCTAGCGAGTAACGTTTTGTATTCCTTTTTTTTTTTTCTTCTGCGTTTGAAAAAACCCTTTTGATCCGCTTCTTCCGATCGGTTTTACGTGGGCGACAAAAACAACAAACGTTACTTTCAGTTAACCCCTTGGTGACCGCGCCCAGACGAATCGTCGGGAACAGGTTCGTAATTTCGAGTTTGCTTTAAATCCTCTTCAAGACGAGTTCTCTTAAGAATAGCGCTCGAAGACATTACGTGTAACCTATTTCGACATTAACGCGGTGAAAAGGTTACGTGTAATGTCTTCGTACCTGAGACACTACGTGCAACCTTTTTACTACGTTATCGCCGGCAAAGGTTACACCTAATGTCTTCGTAATCTACTGTTCACCCTTGGCGAGGATTTGACGCAAGGGCAGGAAGTCGGGTCGATACGTTATTATGTTGAAAATTTGAATAAAGTCGTAAACAAGTTCCCGGCAAGGCTACGTAAAATATTTACCCCGGTTAAAAGAACTAAATATGTACATGATCTCATTATAAGAACCTCTCGTTATATAATACTTGGGTGCGTTCGAGAAAACAGGACATTGCAGGGAGAAATTTTCAGACTGTTTGGGCTAAGGTACTTGTTTACGACTTGGAAAATTACTTTCGTGATCCCTCCAGGAGCTGGAAACAAGCTTAAAGATACAGATGGGATACACGGAAAGTGTACAATAGAACAATAAGAGTGTTGGTTAAGGTTTGAAAGGATACTTCCACTCGACGACGTCGATGCACAGCTTGCGCACGGGATTTTTGAGGGGTAGACAGAAAAGAGCCCTAACGGGCCTGTCGGGCGGGGGCTTGCCACCCCTGCGAGCCGGCCGCTTGGGGGCGGATTTGGCTGCACCTGTGCTGGTCCCGAGAGTTTGGCCCGTCTGCGACTGCGCGGTTGCTTGCTGTCCGTCCTGGCCATATTGGGGGTTCTGGTGCTGCCCGAGGATGGGGGGGGTCGCGGCAGTCGGCTGGGCCCCCAGCAGCTCAGGGGGGCCCAACCCCGAGCCCCCATCCCCCCCCGCGCTCATCGGTCGCTCCTCCGCGCTTCTATCAGCTCTGTGCTTCCGCTTCGATGCTCACTTCTTCTTCTCCGCCCCCTTCTTCTGCGCTTCCGCTTGCCGCCTCCTCTGCCTCCGCCTCCGCCTACTCCTCTTCCTGTTATACACGCGCAGGCACGCTCCTCAGGACCCTGCTCGGCCTCCAAGCAGACGCCCGTGCAGACGTCCAACGACGACGATCGACGCGCTCTCTCAGAGACGCCCCACCACCCGCTGCAGCTCGCCGGCATGCTACGGCACTGGGCTCTTTCGAACCTCCCTCCGTGACCTAAACATTCAATTCAATTCCATTACTTTTACTGTTAATATTACTTTTACGATTAACATTGGTCAACGAAAATCTTTCGGCCAGTTTTTCTGGGAGGGTTACACTTCGTGGTACAGTAATAAAAAATTGAATTCTTAACCCTTTGTACTCTAGGTCATTTTTTCTGGTATCTACCAGCAACTCGAGATGCTTCCTTAGCATTCTATTGCCATGAATTATAAGCTATACAGATTTGAGAATCAGGTCACCTTTACCGCACCGACAATCATTTTATTGACATTTCGAGTTCCAAGGAAATTAAACTTAAAGAAACATTATTGCTGATAGATTTGCTGAGTGAAACCTAATGATGACTGAGAGTCACCTCTTGAGTGCAAAGAGTTAAATAATTAGGTATCTAAGACACCCATCCTAGATTGCACAAGTTCCGTCGCGTTCATTCTAATTTACCCTTTTTTTGACGACATAATTGCCTGCTAAATTGCCAAACAAAGAGATCAAAGGAATCACGTCTCGTTCTATCGCCTCAGTTCGGTATTTAGTATAAATATTGAACCGTCAACGTAACGCTTGACACCGTTTGTAGTCTTCAGGAACATGTCGACACCTAAACAGGAGACCCGTGAAAGAACAGTCACGTCTTCATAGTCGACCGATGAAACACGTAATAACCATCACCGGTGTCGTCTTATACAGTTTCAAAGAAGTGGAACTATGGAAGGGCGATAAGTGCCGACGTCGTACCAAAGAATATGGACTCTGACATTTAACGTCCCGGGGAAATTGTTCGAGCCGAGGGGGTAAGGTTGACGTTTCGCAGCATTTAATTCTTTGACGTCACGAGTAGATCCCATAAATTAAAGAGAGAGAAATGAGAGCATCAAGGAAACGAAGTGGTAACCGCGTCCACAGGGACGCCTGGCGGAAGAGGAACCTGACCAGCGTTCTCCAACCCCCGAGGGCCATTCCTGGGAATTTTTCCAGATGTACGAGTCCTTTAGGAAATGATCCTGACGCGGAAGGATACGCTCGCAACGACGCAACCCTCGATCAGCTTAGCGCCTCTTTCCTGGCGAGGGTAGACACGAAAGACCCCGAAAGATAGCGGTCAACTCGGCCCGTAAATATTCCAAAGGCGTTCGCGAGACCAGTAATCTGGCGCCGCAACGCCTCAGACGATTCGTGAGTTCGCCCTGGAGGCGATAAATATTTATGGCCGCGGGACGAAGCAGTTCCGCTCCTTGTTTCCATCCCTCGTTAACATTTAATGCCGTACTCGTTCCGTGTATAGACGTCACCACGGTCGCGGGAATGGATCGAACGTTCAAAAAGGCGGTCGAACTTAAAAGCCATTCGTTGTTTTCTCCCGCGCGAACGTCAACAGCACTTCCTGGTGCCCACCCCCGACGTAAATCGGCATCCATCCGCTCAAGGGCTTATATTCACAGTTGGACGCTCTAAAGAAAAGCTCTATTTTGCACGTTTTTGTTGGTTCGAGTATTATTTTTTCATAAACGGAGAAGTGCTGAAAATGACACGAATTAAGTACCAGGTACTGTAGAAAAGAGCTCGGAAAGATTTGCACCTTTCGGGACCTTGCAAACATACATATTTTTAAGGGTGATTCCAGAATAACAGCTGTAAGAATAGGTAATTTTCATGTTTTTTTTTTTTTTTTTTTTTTAAATTATTAACAATTACCGAATGATCTTTCTTGGGATATAAAGAAGCATCCATGAAATAGAGAAAGAAAATGTTTTCTTGCCATTTTCTGAATTATTTATTGACAAGGAAAGCTTTTTAGGTGTCCGCCTCCGATTGTTTTGATTTTTGGATATGTTTCAATGGACCGAGAAATAAGATATACGTATTTTTTCAAAAAAGTTTCATGGTTTTCTATCTGCATATAAAATCTGGCCCTAAATTTTATCAAAAATAATTTGTTTATAGTAATAGCTTATTCCAGCTGAAACTTCATGGGGTCGTTTCACCCCCTGAATATGAAAACGGACCAATATAAAAAAATACGTATATCTTATTTTTTCGGTTCTTTGAAACATATCCAAAAATCAAAACAACCGGAGGCGAATACCTAACAAGCTTTCCTCGTGAGTATACATAATCAGTCATCAGTGAATTAGGCTTAACGGGGGGGTAATCGCTTTAAAAAAATACGCGTCGATATAGTAGTACTTCCTGGGCTATTAAAAATATGTTCGCGAGGTACATAAACCTAAATATAAATATAGTAATATAAATCAAAAATTGACATGGTCAAATATGTATAATACCTTTCGCGGTATTGCATAAGATTCGTTCGAACGTGTTGCACGTAGCAAATGAGTTCTGCTTGTTTACTAGTCAAATTTCACCTAACAAGTCGAAAGAGAACCCCCGCCTGGTTTTGACTTTTCGAGACATCGGCGATCGCGCTTGATGCGCTCGTTACATCGTGGCGAAGATGACGCAGGTCGGCGAGGAAACTAATTCCACAGTCAAAGGACGTAATTATATCCGTCTGACGAAGTGAAATCATCGATAGTCAGCTCACGTGCGAACCGATACTCTCGAAATTAGCAGAGCCTTTGTTTCCACCCCGACACAATGGATTTCTCAGTCTGCTCTCCTGGATTGATACCAGCGAACGTTACGAACAACAGAACCTTGTTTTGCCTTGTCTAACGACGAAATCATCCCTTCCCCGATAAAATATACTTCGTACTCGCCGTCGACTTCGTTCCCATCAAAGTTTTATCAAAAACTCATTCGTCCTCGATGGACCCTCCCCAGTTGCCCGATCGTTCCCAGAAAGAAGTTGAAAAAAGTAATAACGACAAGACGGTGAGAAACGAAAAAACACGAGACATCTGGGGCAATGCTAAGATTTTTTTGTTCACGCCTTCCCATCTCGGTATTCCAGCTGACGACGATGGAACGCGACGTCGAGTTCCTGTCGCTAGAACGTCCCTGTCAAACAGAAGCCTCGAAGCTCGAGAATTACGGGGTCGTCCTCGCCGAGCCAGAGATTGTTTCTGCGCTCGAATCGAACGGAGAAAAATCGACGCGGCTGGTGGAACGCGACGCGACAGAAGCCGCGCTTGTGTTTCGGCGAGTCCGGGAGCCTGGGATTTATAGCAGACTCACGCTATATTTAGTGAGCCTAAATACTAGAAAGTTCTACCTGCGGGCGAGCTTGTCGAGCACGAGATCTCGCTCTCGTCGCGTGAACTTGTCTGAAATCGGTGGTCGGTGTTGATATGGTCCCTTTGAAACGCAGACCTACAAATACAGGAAGCCCTTAAGGGCGGAGGGACGCTTTGAAAATGTACTTTTTGAATTCCTTTGAAATAAACAAGAATGTGGAAATTGTCGCGTGTGTGTCTGTGTCGAGTCTTTCGACAGCCAATTTGGGAAGTCTATTCTTCCGAAGTCCGTTCGAATTCCTCGTCACGTGTCTCACACGTTGTTACAGACTAAAGCAGAGCTCGGCAAAATTTGCAAACTTACATATTTTGAAGAGGGACTCCAGAGTAACAGCTTTAAAAATAGATGATTCTCATAAATTTTTTTTTTTTTTTTAAACTATTAATAATTCTCGAAAGGTCTTTCTTAGGATATAAACAAGCATCCATGAAATAGCGAAAAAAAATGATTATGCTTAACGGGGATACCACTTTAAAAAAATACGCGTCAATATAGTAGTACCCCCTGGGGTACTACTCTTTGCACTCGAGGCCTTTTATTCTGGTATCTATCAGCAACTCAAGATGTTTTCTTAGCATTCTATTGTCACGAATGCTACGCTTAGATTGACTTCGAAAATGAGATCTCTAGTTTGAGATTTGAAAATCAGGTCACCTTTGGCTGAACGACACTTCGATTTTCAAAGAAATTAAACCTATAGGAAACCTAGTGGTGACTGAGAGTCGCCTCTCGAGTGCAAAGGGTTAAAAATATGGAAGGAATTCGTGTCGAAGATGAAAAGCACGAGTAAGACACGTGGTATGACCGTGCAGAGTAAATCGTAGGGTAAGGGGTTAAGATACGATATCTACCTAAAAACTCGCCTATCATCGACTTCTTCGAAGTAGTTTGCGAGCGATGATCATCATCAATTTCTCTCCACCTCATTCCCCTGATCTTTCGGTATTCTCCTGGCATTCAAATGGCGATCTAGGACTCGCAACTCGCTCGTATGGCTCCCTTCGTTCCAATTATGATATTGCCAGCACGCGTGGCAGCTGATCCATAGGGCGAAATTGCCCCGAGCTTTAAAAGCACAGACGACTGATTAAATGAGTTTTATTCGACGTTTACGCGTCTGAGAATCGCTTTGTTCTAAATTGAATTGCATTCGGCGCTTTTTCCATTGTCTCGCGAAGGGATCTCTTCCTGCGATGCTTTTTTTTTTTTTGTTTTCTTCTTTCTATTTTCCACATCCAACAGTGAAAGGAACTCCCGATTGTAGTCCAAATAAAGCGCTCTATCGAAACGGGTCACGTTCCAACGCACGCTGGCGTCGAGGAAGAGAGAAAAAACGTGAAATTCCTCTGAATCGAACGTTCCGAGAGCCGATCCGAGCTCCGTGGAACTAATTTCGATCGAGACGATAATTCTTCGAGCAGAATCGTTTCCTCTGCGTCCTATGATGATCGAAGACGCCCGTGACGCACGTTAGGCGGGCGTTCGTGTGATTCAGGGGACGCGAATAAAGCGTCGTAGTAGGAGATACGCGTTCGAATAGATTCAGAGATAGACGACGAGTCCCATTTTACGGATGAGTCAGACGATCGCCGGAATTCGCGAACATAATTCGTCGGTTCCCCGGAAAAGTGGAAATCGCCGCGTTTCCATTCGAGGTGGGAACGATCGAACCGTTTCTCTCCGTTTGTCTCGACTAATCCCTCTTGCGTATCAACACCCCCTGCGAGAAAAATCGCTTTTCGAGGGAGGAAGGTACATCCTAAAACGAAACTGTCTTTCGGAGGGTGGCGATAAGA